AGTTGAGTGATCTCGGAAGCGGTCCGGTTAGCGAGTTACGCGAGATGTCGATTGACTCGGCCGAGTTGAGCCGAGTTAACGATTCGGGTAAGGACCCGGAGAACGAGTTTGACCGGAGAGTTAGTGTCTGGAGGGTAGTGAGGGAGGAGATGGAAGATGGGATTGAGCCGTAGAAGTTGTTGTCGGCAAGATCGAGCGTGATGAGTTGCGTTAGAGCAGAGATGAGCGGAGTGAGACGACCCGTGTAACCGACCGGGTCGAGAGTTAGTTGGGTCACACGTGTGGAGTCGGAAGAGCAAGTGATGCCGCACGTGAAATGTGTTCGACGTGGCGTAGCGCATGGGTCGGAGGCAGTGAAGTCCCAGCTTGCGAGACAAGACCATTGAGGGATTGAGTTGGGTTTCACGGCGGCTTTGAAGGCTTTTAAAGCTGACACGTCGGATGGTGATGTCAGTGCATCGGTGGAGAGGATGAAAAGGGTGAAGAAGAGGAGAGGAGGAAGGAAAGAAGTGGACAAAGTCATTGTTTTGGTTTTAAGTGTTTTGTGTGAATGAATGATGTCAAGTGTCTAAAAGAGGGTGTTGCTATCTTTATATAAAAGGAAAGCAATTCTACGTGGTGGAGGTCGGCTTTGCCTTTTGGTCGTCTCTCTCCATACGTACAAGGTAATGCTTAAGGCATAATCAAATGTTTGGAGAAAGTTAATTAACATGTCTTTAGCCTGTGAAAGTAAGTTTTAGAACTTTTGGTGATCTGTAAAAAAATGTCTGAAACTTTTGGTTAACCAAAAAAAGAATTGTTTGTTGTTAGTAGGAATTAATGGTCTAGCTACCATATTTTATTATGATATATAAGTCTAATTTTGTTGCCACATCCTGTGATTTTCTGAGCAAATAATCTTGTATTAAAAAGATTATGTTCTTGGAGTTGTTATGTTAGCGACAAAGATAGAATGCGACAAACACCGTCTGACTATGAATATGAATACGAATAAAGACACACTGTGTCTTTGGACTAATCCAAGAACGCCTTTGTGCATATTATTCTATGTTACAACTGTATAGTTTATGGTCATCACTCATTTTTCAATGCTTCATAACTCAAAAGATTATGAAAATAATAGTAGAAAATTGCGTAAGACCGAAACACTTGAACTTACGAATGATTGGGACATCGCTGGAGGGCACTTACAAAAGTTACTTTCTTGTCTATTTACTTTCAGATTATTCAAAAAGCTAGTGTTTCCCTCTTATGATAAGTCTTGCTTTGAGGTTGTTAAAGCAACCTCGTTGAGAACGATTACATTAGGACTTCATTTGTAACCTATTTAAAAGAAAATAATTAGAAAATGTAATATTCTTCAAAATCAAAACTTATATTAATTAATGGAAATGCTCTTGAAAGTTAAGATATTTTTAGTTCATTCCTCTGATATTAATCCTTAAACTTATAATAGGAAGACTTGTTCCATGTTGTTCCTCCCCAGATTTGATAATGAATGAATTTATTTTTTGATTCCTTAAATTAAAAGGAATGAGAAGGAATATTGAAGAAAAGTTATTTCTTATAAATTGTGTCAAATTTAAGGAATGAAGAGGAATTAACTATTATGATTCCTCACAAATGGTGTCAAATTTAAAGAATAAAGAGGAATTAATTATTCCCACACATTCTTTTGATCACATGTCAAAGCCATAGTTTGTAATACTTACATTTCTTTCTAAATTGCATTTTCAAGAGAAAATCTCTTTGATTTATTTAGTTTTTTTCAAAAAACTCACTCTAAAGCTATTCAAATTATATTCATCTCGAAAAATATATATATATTTTTTTTGGCAACAAACGGCTGATCTATTACTCAAACTTGAGGTGGTCTAGAAATCCAGACCGGAATAGAACAACCAACATACAATAAGTCTCGATAAAAGGACCGAGCCGTTTTGGCGAGAGAATCAGCAACTACATTTGCCGTCCTAGGAACATAGGAGATCTTAAAATCTGGACAACAAATCTGCAGAGTCATGATCTTTTCTAGCTCCGTTGAGAAAGTTGGCCAGCCATCGGGGTCTCTAAGCATCGCTATTAACTCCTTGCAGTCCGTCCCAAAGCTCTGACATGGCGAATGTTGAATCATGTTCTCCATTGCCCACCGCAGTGCTTCCAGCTCAGAGTGCAAGGCCGATTCCATCCTACTCACATTACACCCATTAGCTGCCTATTCCCCATATAATCAGTCCATACCCATCCACATCCACTGAATTGACTCGTAGAAGTCCATGAACCGTCAATCATGCAGATATCCCCCAGAGTTATGGTCTGGTCCATATCCATGTGTCCTTGATCAGGTACTAAATCTTGTTCATTAGCTTGGAACCAAGCTTGACACTCACTCTCTGCATATCTGGCTAATTCCAGTGTGTCTCTATCAATTCCTCTGAACATCTTATCGTTTCGAGCCTTCCAAATGTACCAAATATACCAAATATGTATTTTTGGGACAAAATAGTACATATATGTATATCAGGGCTTCTCCGACTTTTGAGAATATATGTTACAAGTATAATAACTGATGAGCACATGGTGGTAGGCATTTGTCGTCTAGTGATATAAGGAGAAACCTTCCATTATGGCTTCCAGGGGGATCTTCGGGTTTGACCAATCTTCTTCCTATGCCTACATTGGATTGAGAGGCCTTTAGCCTCCGAGAGAGAACAAGAAAAGTTTTCCGCCCAACGACTCTATGATGTCTAATCTAGACTTATTTCAAGGAAAACAGTTTCTTAGGTACACGAAGTTTACACTAATATGGTAGAAACCATCCAAAGTATAAAAATGTATCAAGAACTACACAAAGTATATGTTAATACATGCCACATGTACGAAATAAATGATATTATGGTGGCAACATCACAATCAAGTTTAATTGATCTTAAATTAAGTTAATGGGGTCAATCCGTAATTTATGAAACTTAACAAAATTAATTAATTTTAATTATTAAAGTTAATAAAATAATAAACTTAATAAACATAATATTTTTTAAAAATGTGATAAAATTAATAAACATAATAAACATAATATTTTTAAAAAATTTGATAAAATTAATAAACATAATATTTTAAAAAAAAAACTTAAAAAAATTATTAAACTTAATAAATTATTAAACTTAATAAAATTATTAAACTTCATAAACTTAATAAACTTAACAAACTTAATAACTTATAAACTTAATAAGTTATTAAACTTAATATACTTAGCAAACTTAATAAACATAATAATTTAATAAATTTATTAAATTATTAAACTTATTAAACTTAATAAGTTTATTAAATTATTTTGTTTATTAGTTTTAGGATTCTAGCTTATTAAACATAATAATTTTTAAAAACTTAATAAACTTTATAAACTTAATAAGATTTATTAAACTTAATAAGATGTATTAAACGTAATAAATCATTAAGTTTATTAAGTTTGTTAAGTATATTAAGTTTAATAACTTATTAAGTTTATTAAGTTTGTTAAGTTTATGAAGTTTAATAATTTTATTAAGTTTAATAAATTTATTAAGTTTAACAAAAAATATTAAGTTTATTAAGTTTTAAAAAATATTATGTTTATTAAGTTTATTAATTTTATTAACTTTAATAATTAAAATCAATTAAGTTTATTAAATTTCATAAGTTACGGATTGACCCCATTAACTTAGCTTAAGAACAATTAAATCTGATTGTGATGTTGCCACCATAATATCATTTACTTCGTACATGTGACATGTATTAACATATACTTCGTGTAGTTCTTGACACATTTTTATACATTTGATGATTTCCACCATATTAGTGTAAATTTCGTGTAGCTAGAAATTTTTTTCCAAATTTCAATGTGAATAGTTTTTGGAAAGTGTGTCAAGTTCTGGTGAGGGGCTATATCCATAGATGAAAACTCTTATCCGCATATGAAGGGTTTGGATCACACAAAAGTGTAAAATGAGCAAGGTTGGAACTTGGAACTCTTATTTTCTAATTATTAAATATTTTAGTTTTTTCTTAGAAAAGAAGAAGAATATTTTAGAGTGTATGTTCTTTGTGGCCTTCTTTTACCTATCTTTCTCTCGTCTAGTTATAGCTTCTTTGGTTGGACCGTGGCTATCTTCTGGACTGGTTGCAAAGATGTTGAAGCTTAGCTGGTTGAACTGGTTCGCGAGGCCTTCAAGTTTGAGTTAGTTGGCTGGTTGGTCGAATATAACCTCTACGGACTTGTTTTATGGTCGGGATTTGGGTGGTCTAGTCGAGACGGGTTTATGATCTTAGATCATTACTTCCTTTGAGCCGGGCCTCATGAGGATGTGGAAACACAATTATAGGTCTTCAGAACGTAGTTCTTTTTCCATTAACAAGAGATTTGGGTTCTCCAATGTGTAATGAGTTCTCTGTTCACGTAAATGTACAGAGAACCAGGAACCGCTAAAAGATGACACCACATATTTTCTAACCTGAAGTACAGAGGATCCATAAAGGTATAAAATTTCTTATCACAAAGCAACTCATTCTTATAGAACTAAGGGGGTTAATTAGAAAGCACAAAACGCTTGCAATATACTCAGCCAATGGTCAATGCTACTTACATTGTCTTAAATGACACATAAAGTAATCTCCATAAAACCTCATTAATAACTAAATGTTTGAAAATGGTCAAGTAAACGTAATGTGCTGTTTATTACTAGTTGTTATAACCAAATAAACCTTGTAGGCGTTTTTAACAACTAAATGTTTCTTTCTATGCATTGACAAATGAAAAAAACATAGTATACAGTTCTAAACTGTAAAGTGTAACATCTTCCATTAAGCAATATACACACATGATTAGTTTTTGCAATTTAATTTAAAAACTTCACATCAATGATGATGATTATTATACAGGAAAACGAAAAGAGAGATAGCATTGCACCTCTGTTTCAATAACTCATTAATCTAATGAAAACCAGCTGTGAATTAAACAAGCTCTATAACTCATCATATACCTTGAGCCCGTCATCCACAAGATCCTCACAATGCTTAACAAAAGGAAAAACCTCCCCCGAGTTTTTCCCCCAGTCAGCTTCACATCCATGAGAAGGAGGAGTAAGGTAACAAGGCTCCATCGACGTGGACCGAACACACGGCGGATCAGGAGTTGTAAGATCCCTTGGCTGATAAAGTAACCATGGCTTTAATCCTCCAATACTATAAGCAACATATCCAAATGTAGACCTTGCGCTTGTGACAATCTTATCGGTTAGGCTAAGTAGATATATCTCAGCAAGCGCCTTTTGGTCGTGAAGCTTCTTGTCTGTTTGCTGAACCCTTTCTCCACTCGGTTGATTAACTTCAACCATCTCTCCTGTCGAACTTGGCCTCTCCCAAAACATGTTCTTTAAGTTGTCAGAGTACTCTGGATACAGAGATGTGACAAGAACAGCTTTAAGTTTCGAGATGTTCGATGTATTATTGACTTGTGGCTCTTCTTGTGTAGACAACTCAGGCAAGAGTTTCTCTCTTTGTGTACAACCTACGATCTGGTCCATGACGTGTTGGAAATAACCAGCGTCCTTTCTGAAAACCCGTATTTGAATCCCGAGCGTCTCGTCTGCTCTGGATAAGTGGGCACGGTAGTACCTTGTGACCATACCCCAAACTTGATTGGTCGGGTGAAAAAGATACCAAGACAAAAGGTGAAACACGGTATCTTTCTCCGGGAACAGCTTCTTTAGTTCGAGTTGGAATGTTGGATTAAACCATAGAGATGGAATAAAGTAGACATTGGCTTGAACAATCAACCAAGGGACCTTGTTAATCAAACTTTGATCCTTCTCACAGAAAAACATCTTATCTTCATCCCTTGAATCATGGAGGTTATGAAGATATAGATGCTGCGGGATCAAAGTCGAGTTGATGGCATGATTGTTCAACATTGTTCCGTAACAACGAGCATATCCCTTGTCTAACCGGTAAGAACCATTCATCAAGGGAAAGTCGAGAGGAAGCAACCAAGAAGTACCTGGAAACGGCTCGCATAAGATATCACTAACGTCCTTGCGGTTGTCAACAAGAATGACTCTCTCTGTTAAGAGAGCGTAGAGAAACGCAGAAGCCATAGTAAGCATTCTGTTTCCAAGCCCGTAACCCGCGATCCACACCATGTATCTGCATTCACCAACGGAGTTGCCTGCGTAATTCTCATCGCGAGCAAGATTCTCTATTGCTTCCTTGTAGGCTTTTGTGTCTGGACCGCAACGCTTGTGAAGGACCTCGTAGCTTCTAAGCTTAGAGATGAGATATTCGGATGGTTTGTATGGCGAAGGATGGCGATACAACGAAGATTTATGGTACCTACTCAAGCAAGAACCTTCATCGAAATCCGCGGTTAAAAGCCCTCCCAATAGTTTATCTATTGGTGTTTCGGTTTCCTTTGAAACTGTGGAAAGAAAATGAAAAATGTTTAAAGCCAATATATAAAAAACACAAAAAGATGAATATGTTGTTTTTTTCTTTACCGGTGGATATAGCATCAAGAAGTTGGTTCTTGATGTTGTTTGAGGATGATAACAACATTATAGACAAAACTAGTACGCTACTAAAGAGTAATGTTATCAGAATCTTCATCTTCAAACCAAAGACTTGAAAACTTTACTGGAGATCTGGAATTTGTGATACATGTTTGACATTAGTTCGATGGCTTATAATCAGGAGATGATTCAAAAAGTGTTATATATCTAGCGTGATTACAACTCTTTATTGTGATTTGAAGTTGAAGATACAGTATGACTTTGAATATGTTAATGGCGTGCTTGTCAAGTTGTGATTATCGACGAAGCCCGAACGTGACTCTTTTATAAAAAAAAGTCTTGAACTCCGAATTCTTTTGTTGTATTTTAGTCTCTATAAAAACTTAGTTTTTCAGTTAACTTTTGTATAATAGATGAAAATAAGACTAACATTAAGTCAATGAAAGGTTTTCAACATTAAGTCTACGCAAAATATTAAGTCTACCACTTGGAGAGAAAAAAGTGGAGGAATGTGATATTTCTCTTCGCACAAATAAAAACACTTCTTTAGTCTCAAACTCTCAATATGTAGAGATGTTCTTCGAAAACTGCTTTTCCCCTACAAATGATATCTGATTTTAAATATATACATGCACTTTTATTTTGTTATATATATTTTGAAATAGATGTAAAACAAGAAAGCTTCAGTCTAATATTTGTATTCAAAAAGATAGTGTTAACCAATGTGAATTTTTCCTTTATAAGCAAATTAAACTGATATTTATCTGTTCATAGTTAGCAATGATAATTGTGTTAACATTTCTATGTATACTCATCTTTTCTATCAAATATGTAATTTTCAGTTATGTGTATTTAACTGAAATCTGGTTTTATTTAACAAAATGTTTACCGTCGTACGCACGGCCAGTACTAGTTTAGGAAGAAATTCCGAGCAGTAAAATACCGAACTAAAGACTAACCAAATCAAAATAACTAATTTTGATTAACTTGAGTTAAGTTTTTTAGACCCAAACAAACCAAATCGAATTAAATCTGAATTTGAACTGAAACCACCCCTAAATTTTCCATTGATAATTCCCTAACTTAAATCGAAAAGTTGGAGGCATTAGACGAAGGCCCAAAGGCCCAACTTAAACCATTGCTCTATCTTTATCTTCACCGTACTCTCTCTCCTCCTTCATCGTTGAAGAGAGTGAAGATCCTAGAACCCTAAAAAATCCAAAGGAACCAGAAAAAAAGCAACGAGCTTTAACATGGACACTGGCGCCACTTACCAGAGATTCCCAAAGATAAAGATCCGCGAGCTCAAAGATGACTACGCCAAGTTCGAGCTTCGCGACACCGACGTCTCCATGGCCAACGCTCTCCGCCGCGTCATGATCTCCGAAGTCCCCACCGTCGCTATCGACCTCGTCGAAATCGAGGTTAACTCCTCCGTCCTCAACGACGAGTTCATCGCTCATCGACTAGGTCTCATCCCTCTCACCAGCGAGAGGGCCATGAGCATGCGCTTCTCTCGTGACTGCGATGCGTGCGATGGAGATGGACAGTGCGAGTTCTGCTCCGTTGAGTTTCATCTTAGGGCTAAATGTGTTACGGACCAAACCCTAGATGTTACTAGTAGGGATCTGTACAGTGCTGATGCTACTGTTACTCCTGTTGATTTCGCCGTTGATTCGTCTGGAGCTGATTCTGGCGAGCAAAGGTATCTTCTTTTTCTATTACTGGAGATTTAGGGCACTGCTAAGACATGTTTTGAGTTGGGTTTACTTTAGTTTCATTACCCTGATTAGAAAAAAAGACATAAATTGCCGGGTTTCCGACAATTTTAGTGTGATGAAAGATGCTTCCTTTATGATGTTTCTTATGCCTTTCTGCATGACCCATCTTTTTTTTTCTTTCACTCTCTAGGGATTTGGAGAATTAGGGCACTGCTAAGACATGTTTTGAGTTTGGTTTACTTTAGTTTCACTACCCTGATAAAAAAGGACATATATTAGTGTGATGAAAGATGCTTCCTTTCAGACAATTTTAGTGTGATGAAAGATGCTTCCTTTGTGATTATCTTATGCCTCTCTGCCTGACCCATCTTGCTGTTGGTTGTTTTGTTCTTTGTATTTGTGTTGCTTTTTTTTTGTTTGCCTCTGCTTAATAATTTTGTTGGTGGCTGTTTGTTTTGGTTTTCAGGGGAATTATCATAGTGAAGCTGCGCCGTGGACAAGAATTGAAGCTAAGGGCAATAGCAAGGAAAGGAATTGGGAAAGATCACGCCAAATGGTCTCCTGCGGCTACTGTTACCTTTATGTATGAGCCTGAGATAATAATCAATGAAGATATGATGGACACTTTGACAGACCAGGAAAAGATTGACTTGATTGAGAGCAGTCCGACCAAGGTTTTTGACTTTGATGCTGTCACTAGACAGGTTAGTTTCGTCTTTACAAGTTTATAGCTTTGAGACTTCAGTATGAAATTTTCCTGCTTTATTGACTACCATGCTATGAAGTGACCATAAGGGTGTATAAATTTTCTCTATGTGAGCTAATATCTGCTATCATCACTCTGTTTGATAGCACTTGTTAACACTTAATTACTTAAGTTTGAGATCTTCTTTGACTTAACATTACATATGTTTGGGATTTGTTATACATTTCTTTTGCAGAGTGTATTGTTTGAATTTTCCAAGCTGTCAATTGTCCACGAATACATCATAGCTTTACCATTATGATTGTAATTGATACTTCTCTTCTTTAGGTTGTGGTGGTCGATCCGGAAGCATACACTTACGATGAAGAAGTGATCAAGAAAGCAGAAGCCATGGGGAAAGAGGGGCTCATTGAGATACGTCCCAGAGATGACAGTTTCATATTCACTGTCGAATCCACAGGTGCAGTGAAGGCTTCGCAGCTGGTACTTAATGCCATAGATCTCCTGAAGCAGAAGCTCGACGCAGTTCGTCTCTCAGAGGATACTGTTGAAGCTGATGATCAGTTTGGTGAACTCGGTGCACATATGCGTGGAGGATGAGCTTGTGGTAAAAACTTGAGCTCCTTATTTTGCTAGTTTGTTTCGGGATTTGAGAGCAATAACTGTAGTGGAACACTCTTGTTAGATAACAACTTTTGAAGCTCTCTTGTGTACCTGACGTTTGATCATCTGGTTGTTAAGTGAATTCAGACCAAAGTCTACTCTTCCACCATTTGTTTAGTGATCTATCTTATTAAAACAAACATAATAGTATGAAACTAATTTTAATTACCCTGTTATAAATGCAATTGGAATTTTTTGAAATACTTAAATATATAATAAATGTAATAATATCAAATCAACCAATTAATTAATTCATAATATCTTTCATGTTTTCTAATTAGATTATAAATAGAACTCACCTCTATTTATTCGGACACATTTTTAATCAAAACCGAACACCTAATTACAGTAGTTGTAAAGGACGAAAATATTAGTAAGTATTATTGTTTTTGTGTAAACTAAAAGTTAAAAGAAATCAAAAGTACTAACTATATACGATATAGCGCTGGAAAGTAGAAGCCACATTGCGAGATAAGTCCCGCTTCCTCAGGTCTTTCTGTCACCACCGACACATTTTTAGAGCATTTTATAAGAAACACATCTTTTAATCTGAAGGGAGTAAACAGGAACCTGCCTAAAGTTTGGTCATATGTTCAATTCACACCCAAAGTATACAAGGATGTGAAAACATACCTAAAGTTTCAAAAATTTAAATTTCATAACTGTTAATTAGCCACATGGCAAATGGATTATTGACGGACAAAGATGGGTATCAGATTAAAAACTTTAGATAATTATTAATATCAGAAGTAACTAAACTCTCAATTTTTTTTAACACAAACAGTTACGTTTGAATTTGATTTTGCACTTCTAACAAACGTACAAAATTAGTGTTTCACTACACAGTTACATCTACATACAGTGAAACCTCTATAAATTAATAAAGTTGGGGGACTACACCAAAATTTTATTTTTTTATTAATTTAGAGAGATATTAATTTATAAATATACTAATTGAACCAGAAACTCATTTTTGGACTATAAAATTATATTAATTTATAGAGATATTTAGTGTATATTAATTTATCGAGTATTAATTTATAGAGGTTCTACTGTAATACACTGCTTGACACTATTAATACAAAAGACAGTTTTGATATTGTTCATTAAACATAAAATCGAATTGGACATACTCAAAACTATATAAAACTAAATTATATAGAATATATCCAAAAAATAAAATCAGTGTGGATCATGATCTAGTATATAATTTAAACACTACTCTTCTTTTACTGTCTCTCCAACTTCATATTGATCAAAAAAGCAAATTTCAGTGTCCAATACCTCTTCTAACTTCACATTGTCAAGAAAACAACACATTTAAAAACAAGACCAAAAAGTTCGGAAGAACAACACAAAAACAGTCACAAAGAAATTCAATAAAAGACACATTACCTTCAACCAAATGCCAAATTTTGTGATGGTTGAGTTGGTCATTCACCTCAACTTGGTCCAAATATTTGTTTCTTTGGCCTATAAACCGGACAACCATGATTTGGACAACTACGACTATTGTGACCTAAGATTCCACATCTTCCAGTGTGAACTTCTTCCTTCCATAGAGAGCTTAATCATTTTTTTCTTAGGCTCATGTAATCCTTTTCCTTTCTTTTTTCTTTTGTAGAGATTCATTTTTTCTTTTAATCCTCTTCTTTTCTTTTTTTGTTGGTAGTGGAACATCTCTTGGTGGCGATTCAACAATTTTCTCACCAGATGATCTCCAGAAGTTTATTCCATTCCCGGGACGGATTGGATCACTATATTGCTGCCTACAAGTCGATGTTAAGTACCAATGAGACACATATTGTAAAGGATCAAGCTTCTTTTTCCCAATAACCTGCAAAGCATGTCGGTAAACCTATCATGCTCCACCTCCTACAAACACAAGTCTTTGCAAGCATATCCACTGTATAAGGATGACTATTTTTCCCAACTTCATACACACCTTTGCCACTAGGAACAACGCGACAATCAAACGAATGCTTCTTCTCTTCCTTGATTGTTTCAACCACTTTTTCACTGTATTTTCCTTGCCACTTTAATGCCTTTGTCTTTCTCGTATCTATACGGATCATAGTTTGTCTCCGAGCTGTCTCCAACATCTCCATTAATGGCATCTCTCGAGCAGTGTTGAGTGTATTTTTGTATGACTCAGAAAAGTTGTTCGATACATCTTCACACACCGGACTTCAGCTGAAGAAAGCACGACAATCACTCAGATTATTTGATAACACTGCTTCATACACTCATGTATCAAACGCCTTCAGTGCTTTTAGAGCTCTATCATATTCACCAATGTTGAAACTCTTTGCAACATCCCAAAACAAGTCTTTGGGCATTTATTTTCCTGGATAAGCTTTCCTTAGATTCCCGTAGATGTGGCATGCACACATGCGATGCTCCACTCTAGGCAATTCTTGATTGACATCAATAAGTAAACCTTGCCATTGGGAGCAAAACATCTTTAATCACACATAAAAAAAAGTTTTAAAAAAGTTTTAAAAAAGCAGAAGATAGAATAATTTACTTTTTCCTATTCGAGATTAGAGTGAAGCCTTGTCCATCCAACAAATACAAATTATGTTTAAGTTTCTGAATGAACCACAACCAACTTTCAGTATTCTCCACGTGGACAACTTCCCACAACATGGAACAACTGTCTGTTTGCATCTCTCCCAACAGCTGCCAAGAATTGTCCTTGCACATTGTTCTTCAAGAAACACCCATTTATCCCAAATATTGGCCGGCAATGAGAAATCCACGTTCTTTTCAAGGGGGATAAACAAACATATATATATGGTCAAAGATCTCTTTACCATCTTCATTTGCCACTATCCCAACATCCACAGTAGACTCCGGATTACACTTAATGACCTCTATTTTGTAATCCTTTAGTTTTGAAAATTGCTCATCATGTTCATCTTATATCATATGCGACGTTTGTTTCGTAGCCTTTCTGGACTGATCATTTGAGGCTATAACATTGTATTTCTCCTCCATATTTTCTTGCATCACCTTAGGCATGAGAGCATGATCCTTCTTATGTGATGCAGCTCACATCCTTCTCATATTGGTTTTGCCTTTTCTTATTTTCCTATTTATCTAGTTTTACTTAAAGCTTTGAGTTTCCTTTTTATCTAACGACAAGGAAGAGTTATAATTCCTTTTTCGTATAAGCATTAGGGTTTTGCTTTCTTATATATATAGTCGATGCCTGGGTGTTGTAAGGACACGACTTATTTGATTAATAAAAACAGAGCTTTTATAAACTCTAAACCTTGTTCTCGGATAGAGCTTCGACTCTCAACGATCTCAAGAAGGCAATTGTTCTAGGTATTCTCAGAATCAATAGAAGACTTGCGTTATACGTAGCCTTGGCTACATCAGTTGGTATCAGAGACTTTGAGTTTTGATTCCTCAATCAAGACTTTCGATCTTTGCTGCTTCCGCGTTACCTCTACCACACATTCATTCCGCCATCATCATGCCTCCACGCAAACAAACTCCCGAAGAACAACAGGAAGAACTCCGCAGCACGTTGGAGACCTTCACCATCGGTCTTCAGGAAACCCTTGTTCAAGCTGTCGAAACGGCCCTAACGACAGTTTTACAACGTCAACAAAACGCACCTCCTCCGCCTCAAGTTCGCGCAGATCAGCATCAGCGTGAAGTTCATTACGACGAAGACAGTTCCGACGATGAATTGGCCGAGAATTTATTTGCAAACCCTCACCACCGCCGTAACCAAGATCGCCTCGCCGCTCACGCTGAGCATCAACTCAATCGACGAGAAATACAGCCTGATGATAGACGATGGGATTCTGGTTTTAAGATCGAGATTCCAGAATTCTCTGGTAATCTCAGCACTGAAGAGTTTTTGGATTGGCTAAGCTCCATCGAAGAAATATTGGAATTCAAACGTATTCCGGTAGATCAGTGTGTTCCTTTAATCGCCTCCAGGTTCAGAAACAGAGCTATGGCATGGTGGCAACAGATTAAAGAATCACGTCGCAGAGCAGGGAAGCCTCGTATCAATACGTGGGAACGTCTTAAAAAACACATGCGTAGGGCATTCCTTCCGTATAACTACGAGCGGACACTTTACAATAAGCTACAATCTCTGCGGCAGGGATCTCGTACAGTGGATGAATATGCAACAGATTTTTTCAACATGGTGGCCAGAACTACGCTTATTGAAACAGAGGAGCAACTCGTTTCTCGTTTTATAGGTGGCTTGCGTTATCAGATTCAAATAGCTATGCAACAATTTAATCCACTTACGGTATCTGAAGCACATCAGCGTGCGATAGCAATGGAAAGTCAATACCGCTCAGCTTGGGGAACATCATCTTCACGCTCTCGTGCTACCACTTCGAATACCACAGACACTACCTCCAACCCATCATCGGAATCTTTAAAAACTCCTGCACCACGCCCTAGCAATTCAGCCACCACCGCAGCAGATTCTCTCGCTCAGTCACGTCCTCAACGCACGGGTGCTCTTAGATGCTTCTCCTGCGGCGAAAATGGACACCGGCAAACGGCTTGTCCTCACCAAAATCGTCGGGGGTTGCTTAATCAAGACGCAAACGTCGATGACGCACCCATATACGATGCCTCTGATTCAGAGTCTCAGGAAGAAGCTATTGCGGGAGATACGGGAGATAATATTCTAGTTCTCCGGCGCAATTGTTTACTACCGCGTTCTTCTGACGAGTCATGGCTGAGAACTACGTTGTTTCGCTCCACAGGAACTATCAACGGGAAGATCTGCAACATCATCATTGACTCCGGAAGCTGCACCAATGTTCTTTCAGCAACTGCAGTCAAAAAGTTAGATCTCAAAACAACGGTTCATCCTTCGCCGTATAAACTCGCGTGGCTCAACAAAGGTGTGGACATAACTGTCTCGCGCCAAGTTTTGGTATCCTTCTCCATCGGCACCTATCTCGACACTGTCTGTTGTGATATTGTCCCCATGGACGCCTGCCATCTTCTCCTTGGGCGTCCCTGGCAATATGATACAAACGCCACACACCAGGGAAAAGCTAACACATATAGCTTTACCTTTAAAGGTCGTACAATTACACTACTTCCCTCACCAGAACAGCCACTCACGAAGGAGATTCCTGCAACTCTTTCTCCATCAACATCAACAACCAAACCGGGACAATCTCTCCTCCTATTACCAAAAGCAGATTTCGAAGTTGAACTACGCAACTCAGAGATTGTTTGGGCTTTAGTTGCTACTCCGCCGTCCTCAGCAGCTATCTCTTCCACACCACCGGAGTTTGATTCTTTGCTATCTTCCTTCGCGGACGTCTTTCCAGCCGATCTCCCTCAAGGACTTCCACCTCTTCGCGATATACAACATCATATCGATCTCATGCCAAATGCAGCCCTACCCAACCGTCCTCACTACCGAATGAGCCCTCAAGAACATGATGAACTCCGTCGACAAGTGGAGGAACTATTGGCTAAGGGTCACATCCGTGAAAGCCTTAGTCCTGCAGCGGTTCCAGCATTACTCATTCCTAAAAAAGACGGTTCGTGGCGTATGTGTGTGGATAGCAGAGCTATCAATAAGATCACGGTCCGTTACCGCTTTCCGATACCGCGACTCGACGATCTCCTTGACCAAATTGGACACGCATCCATCTTCTCAAAGCTGGATCTTAAGAGTGGTTATCATCAGATACGCATCCGTCCAGGAGATGAATGGAAAACCGCTTTTAAGACACGGGAAGGCCTATTTGAGTGGTTAGTTATGCCCTTCGGCTTATCTAACGCTCCTAGTACATTTATGCGGGTTATGAATCAGGCTCTTCGTCCATTCATTGGTAAATGTGTAGTGGTGTATTTCGATGACATATTGATTTTCAGTGCTACTCTAGAGAGTCATCTCGACCATCTCCGTGACGTCCTTCAAGTTCTGCGCCAGCAACAACTTTTTGCAGCACAAAAAAAATGCGTGTTTGGAACATCACAAGTATTATTTTTGGGCTACATTATCTCGGCTCAGGGTCTCAAAGTTGATCCGAGTAAAATAGAAGCCATCAAGTCATGGCCAGTCCCTAGGACCATAACCGAGGTCCGAAGCTTCCATGGTTTAGCTTCTTTCTACCGACGTTTTGTGCGCAATTTCAGTGCGTTAACAGCCCCTCTCACGGACTGTATGAAGGGTACTACGTTTCATTGGACTACGGCAGCCGAAGACGCTTTTCAAGCCATCAAACAACACTTGATCTCGGCTCCTATATTGGCTTTACCAGACTTTGCTAATGTATTTGAACTTCACTGTGATGCTTGCAAATCCGGTATTGGTGCGGTCTTAAGTCAGCAGGGCCGACCAATCGCCTTTTACAGTGAAAAGATTGCCGGTGCGCGTGCGCGCTACAGTACTTATGACGTGGAGTTCTATGCCATCGTTCAGGCCATACGACATTGGCGTCATTATCTTTTCCACCAGGAGTTTATCTTATTTACGGACCATGACGCGCTGAAACATCTAGACAGTCAATCTAAGATATCTTCGCGGCATGCTTCCTGGATTGCTTACTTGCAACAGTTTACCTTTGTCATTCGTCATCAGTCCGGAAAATCAAACAAGGTGGCCGATGCTTTAAGCAGACGACATACCATCCTTGCGACGTTTCACGCTTCTGTTCCAGGCCTCTCGTCGATCTCTGAGCTTTATGTCACAGACACTTATTTTGGACGGATTTGGCTCGAGGTTCAGTCGCATGCTCGTACGGATTTTTTCATACACGACGGTTTTCTCTTTCGCGGCGACAAGTTGTGTATTCCTGAGGGAAGTTGGCGGTTACGTATTATTCAGGAATTGCATAATGAAGGGCATATGGGTCGTGACCGAACTATCAAACTTGTTCTCGACTCTTATTTTTGGCCATCGCTTCGCCGAGATGTCGCTCGTTTTGTGGAGCGTTGTGTGGTTTGTCAGACATCTAAGGGTCACGCTTCGAATGGAGGTTTGTACATGCCGTTACCAGTTCCTACTCAGCCCTGGACCGACATCAGTATGGATTTTGTTCTTGGCCTTCCGCGTACTCAGCGTGGCTTTGACTCTATCTTTGTGGTCGTAGATCGCTTTTCAAAAATGGCACACTTTATTCCTTGCAAGAAGTCAACGGATGCAGTCATGGTAGCTCAACTTTTCTTTAGGGAGATCTATCGCCTACACGGGCTTCCTCTCTCAATTGTGTCGGACAGAGATTCTCGGTTTCTGAGTCACTTTTGGCGTAGTCTTTGGAAGCTTTTACGCACAAGCTTAGACATGAGCTCGGCGTATCACCCTCAGTCGGACGGTCAAACCGAAGTAATAAACCGTTCTTTAGGGGACATGCTTCGTTGTTTGGTTGGTCAAAATATCCGCACTTGGGATTCTGTTCTTTGTAAAGCCGAGTTTGCGTTCAACCACGCAGTTAACCGTAGTACGTCTTACAGTCCCTTTCGTGTGGTTTATGGTATCATACCACGAGGTCCGATAGATCTTGGCGTCGTACCTGATGCTACACGTGATCATGGAGATGCTGTTGACTTCATCGCCAATGTCACTCATATTCATCAGACAGTGCATGACAACCTGAAGCTTACTTCTGCAAAGTATAAAGAGGCTGCGGATCGTCATCGCAGAGATGTTCAGTTCAACGTGGGGGATAAAGTTTGGGCAGTCTTGACGAAGGAACGTTTTTCAGCACACGAGTACAATAAGCTTAAGGCTCGGAAAATTGGTCCGTTGGAAATATTGGAGAAGATCAATAGCAATGCATATCGCGTGTTACTTCCATCTCATGTTCGTTGTTCTGACGTTTTCAACGTCAAGCATTTGGTTCCATTTGTTGCTCAGGATGTTACCGAAGATTCGAGGGCGAATCTTTTTCTACCCCGGGAGACCTGATGCAGCTCACATCCTTCTCATATTGGTTTTGCCTTTTCTTATTTTCCTATTTATCTAGTTTTACTTAAAGCTTTGAGTTTCCTTTTTATCTAACGACAAGGAAGAGTTATAATTCCTTTTTCGTATAAGCATTAGGGTTTTGCTTTCTTATATATATAGTCGATGCCTGGGTGTTGTAAGGACACGACTTATTTGATTAATAAAAACAGAGCTTTTATAAACTCTAAACCTTGTTCTCGGATAGAGCTTCGACTCTCAACGATCTCAAGAAGGCAATTGTTCTAGGTATTCTCAGAATCAATAGAAGACTTGCGTTATACGTAGCCTTGGCTACATCATTATGTCATTCAACAACGACTTTGCAATGATTCGACCCTTAACAACCTTGCTACAGCCATATGGTATACATGAATGCTCATCTTCGAACGTCTTGATCATGAACATCCCTATTGATCTCTGAAAGGAGCAGTAAATTCTGAATTTACAACTTTGATTCTCTTTTATACTTACATTTCCATCACCATCATGTTCATTATTGCTGCTACCATCAAATCCAGCAACGATTGCACACATCACTTCAGATTTTTGAGATCTCCATCTTGTGTATTTGACATTAAATCCATTCAATAGACAGTAATCAACCACATCTTCCTTGAACTCAGATAAACTATCAAATACTTGATTTAACTTAAGCGCCCCACTCCCTTTTTTACACCTTTGGTATTGCCTCTCATCACCTTCACAATCAGAGTTTTGTGGATTGACCTCATCATTATAATGCTCTTCTTCATCGACAATTCCTTCTAAATTTTTCTCTACTCGTGCATCTTCATCAAGCATCCCAGCATCACTATTATCTCTTTCACTGGACCCACTATCAACATTACCAGAAGCTCTATTGTCACCGGCGACATCACCAACTCCATCGTCAATATCGTCTTTCTCCATAAAATTTTCAGTGGCTTTGGTCAACATTGTTGACTGAACCAGTAAGTCAAACATTGCATCACCATTACACATAATTTTTCGCTTTCCAAAATTCTGAAAAGGAAGTTTATACCAAATCCTTTTACTACACAACGACTTCTGTAGAGCCTCCGACATGTTTGCAAACAACATTTGTGGAGAACATACAAGTTGAAGAACCTCTCCTTTTTTATATGAAATGACAGTACCATCTAGTTCGAACTTCCCACTGTGATATATAGTGAAACTTACATCAATTAAATCGCTACAAATACAATAAAATTAAGAAAATAAAATTCCGTCTAATACTTAGCGTGTATAAAAAAATACCTTTGTTTGTAATCTAAACCTAAAATCCAAAATTGAAACACTTTACTTTAGTATTACCAAGGAATTAGTTAAATGAACTACAAAATGTGTTTAAATCCCATTTTTTTTCTAACCATACCCATTTGTCAATGGTAAAATCAAAGAGGAATTTAGTTGAGAATTTTACCTCATTTTCTGATCCATGAAATGAACTCCACCCTAGAAAATGCCGTGCTTGTTCATGAGTTTGATCGAGGGAAGCAATTAGAGAATTGAGATGAAAAAACGAGATTGTTCTTTCGTTGGTGTCGTCTTTGTCCAAAAAAATTTGGAAAGTAATTAGAACAAACAAACCACGTAATATCCACGTATATGAATGTTTAACACTCATTAATGAGCTTTGCATAATTAGCAGAAGTAACCGTTTTCGCATAAAAAATAATCTTTGAATATGAAAATTAAATGTTTTGAAATCTTAGGTATTTTTTCGCGTCCTTGTAAATTTTGGGTATGAATTGAACATATAACCAAACTTGAGACAGATTTTGGCAGTTTTCCAGGAGTAAACAATAAAGCAAAAATGAAACTTTTTTTTGACGTATTATATCTGATAAATGAAAATATACAATAGTTTACACGTTAAACCATTAAATATAATCAGATTTGCTTAGGAAAATAGGAAAAAAATCATGCTTCACATTTAATGGTAATTAAAATGATGTTACTATTTTGCAATTTTTCATTACTAACATTTGTGGTTTCATCAACAGAGTGATGACATTTGATTTTAGAATTTGGCTACTCATTTTTCGAAGGTTTGAAAGTGTAACCGTCTCCGAAATTAAAACAAACGTAAAGACTAAACGACAATTAAAAAAAGCCCTCAAACCTAAATTAATTACAAAAGAGCCACCATAGTCCCACAAGTAACTCCCCTTCAGTCATCACCGACACCGACCTCTACCGGCGTAAATGTCTCCGACAATTTCGTTGAGTTCCGACAAAACCCACTCCCCTGTTTTCCCCCTTTAGCCGCCGCCACCACAAAGTGCCCTAAACCTCCGACGACTTCACTCAGATTCTCCTCACACAGAAACTCATCACTGTAAACTCTCTCAAGCTTCCTCCCAAACTCATGCACAAAAACATCCGTCGTCCCGGAATCTTTACTCTTCGCCAGAACCGCCGAGGTAAAAATCGGAGCCATTCTCCCCGGCGAGTCTCCGGCGAACCCACTTGGCCCATCGATCAAAATCACATCCCAGTCGATCTCGTACACAAAATTAGGTAAATCGTTGATAGCCAACTTACAGTCAGAGAACAAAAGATTCTGAACGGGTCGACACTCGGGTCGGGTTTTATAGTAACGCAAAAGCTTACTTGCTTGAGAGACTTTGGTCGGGAAAACGACGTCGTAAGCTTCAACTCCGGGGTTACTCTGCTCGAATTTAGAAACAGCGTAAGGGTTGTCGTGAACGAAGACAGTACGGCCTTTGAGGTTTATAGATCTCCAGAGGAGAGATTCGTGGGAGAGTCCGAAGACGAGGAGGTTGCAGGTGGGGGATTTGGAGTTGATGGCGGTGGAGATGGCGGAGAGTTCGGGGAAGGACATTGTGGTGTTTGGTGGTGGTGTTGAGGAAGTGTAGTGGAGGAGTGCGGCGAGGATGGGTGGTGAGAGGGAGGAGGAGGATGAGGAGGGGAAGTTGGAGGTTGGTGTGGTGGTGGAGTGGAGTGAGGATGAGAAGAGAGAGAAGGAGAAGAGGAGAGTGAAGAAAGAGAGGAGGAAGATGAGTAAGAGACGGTGGTGACTCACGGTGGCGACGGCGGAAGATGTGTTGTGGTGGTGGTGGAAGAGGATCAAGTTAGTGTTTTTGTTGCTCTTCATTTGTTTTTTTTTCTTGTTGAACAAAAACAAAAAGAGTAAGGAAGAAGGCGAAATGTGTCGGTCTCTTTGAGAAACGCCTTATGAAACTCCTAGGAAAAATCAATTTGCTTGTTTCCTAATCTAAGGGCTGGGCAATTGGGTTTCGGTTGGATTTATTCTAGTTTTAGTTTTCGGATTTATGATTTCAGCTCCTTTCAGATATATAAAAATTAGGATTAGATTCGGTCCGCTACGATTCAGGTTTAGTAACATGTCCAAGATCCGGTTAAATCCAAAATATTTTTGGTTCCCAATATTAGTTAGATTATCGGTTCTAAAAATACAAATTTATACTCGATTAAATTCAATATATTTTTAATCATTTTATTAAATTTATGTATTTATCTTCTTCAAACCATATTATTATATTTCTAAATAATATTGTGAAACTCATTTATCAACCATATAAGATTTGTTATTAAATTATATGTGACAACACTGAACATATCATGATTAATGATAAACTAAAATCTTGTATGAACTAAAATCATACATAATGAAATATAAAAATTAAAATTAACAACTAACAATTCTATAAACGTAATAAATATTATTTAAACTTAAAAACAACAATATTATTTAAATTTCAAAACAAATTTATTTGTAACTTAACTTAAAATGTAGTGTCAATCATAAATATTAATATTAACCAAATAAAACTCTATATTAGACTAAATATTTGAGTTAACTATTTATTTAATAACTAATTATCGTAGGTACTCAATAATATATTAATGTGTTTTGAAAACATATTAGAAATTTATATTAGATATGGTTCACATTTTTTTAGAATTTTAAAATTTTGGATTCTTTTGGATATCCATTTACATCCGGGTTCGGTTCGAGTAAAACCCATAGTCCAAAATTTCGTAAAACAAGATCTATTCGGTACTTATATCGGATTTAGATCGATTCAAATTTTTATTTATTGGGTCGGGTTCCGTTTAGATTTTCCGTTTAGATTTCGAGTTCGGTTTCTTCCCAACCCTATCCTAATCTATTTGCTTTTCTTCTTGTTATATTTCATAATCTATTTGGTTATCTATAGTTAGGGCTAGGTAAAAAATTCGGATCTGAAGAACCGAATCGAAAAAGTAGTATCGAATCCGAACCAAAATTGATTAAATATCCGAATGGATTTAAAATTTTGGTATTTTGAGAACCGAAATATTTTGGGTACTCCATTATATCCGAAATATATTTACATACCTATATATATTAATTATTTTTAGATTTAATATATATATTAAAAAATTCAAAATATATAAAATACTTTTAAGTTTTCCAAAATACTTGAAATATATATAAAATAGTCAAGAGTACATGTCTAAAATAGCTAAAGTATACTTAAAACACCAAAATATTTAAAATATCTATTGATTCTCAATCTAAATATTCAAACCAAACCAATTTATATGTTAAATTTAGATAATTTTACATATGCTATTCAGATGGATATGTAATATATTATTTGTTTATAGATTTTGAGAAATTTAAAGTATATAATGAATTTTAATCTATTAAAAATAATTTAAATAGGTTATCCGAAATCGAACTCAATCCGCAAATATCTGAACTGAACTCAAACCAAAATTTAGAAATACTCGAATGGAGCTGAAATCTCTGAATCCGAAAAACCAAAATCCAAATAGATCCGAACCGAACCTGAATGGGTAGACTCGAAAGTCCCGAAACGGATGTTGTTGTCTGCCTTACATATTAGTTACTAAATAGCTATATTTTGTTTTTAGTAATTATGTGATTTAGAAAATTTGAAATTTGGTGTTGAATAACTAATACACAACAAAAGCATGTTTAACTAAACCATATTACTGGATGACAAAAAAAAAAGTATACTTTTTGCTGCTTTTATATACTACTCCTTAAATTATATCATATTCTGATGAATTTTCATTTCTTAAATTATCTAAACTAATTTAGTTATACAGTCTATTTTAAATAAATTTTATGAATTTAATATCTTTTCTAGTTTCAAATTATATTTGTTTTATAAATAAACTAAAAATACTTTTTATGAGAAAATATAAATTAATTATATTTGAAATAGGATATTTTTTGAATGCTATGGTATTAAATGTTGTTGGTTTTTTTGTTATTTTTGTTATTTGAAATATTTATTTTTAAAATTATATGTTGGTCAAACAAAATCTGAGAATTAAGAAACTATTTTGAGTTAAAGAGATTATACGACCTTTGAATTTTTTTGTTATTAAGTTAATGTATTATTTTATAAATATATTTAAAATTTTGGCAATTTATTTTACAATTTTTAACAAATTTTTTATAATTAAATTTTGAATGTATAGTTATGATTGAATTATTAAAATCTTTCATGAATTATTAAAAGTTTAAAATGTCTGATAATATTTTTTTTGTAAATAATGCATGAACTAAATATGTTAGTTGTATACTATTATAGTTTTCTATATAATCACTTTTAGATAATATATTATTAAGTTTCAATATACATAAATAAAAAATTTAGGAATATAAAAATTTGTTAACAAATTTGACATTTCCTATAAAATATTACATTAATTGTTTATTAAAATAAAATCACATTTTGAAATAAAATAGATTAATTTACCAATTTACTCTAATATTTTTATATTTAATTATATATATTTATATTTTAAGATGATATAGAATATACTTATAAAATTTATCAAATAGCTTATGATTTTACATTTCAATTTTACTACAATGTTAATTAACATTAATTTATAATCAGATTACATTACTACTTATGAAATTAATCAACAAAGTTATATTTCATTTTTAGAAGATTTTTTTTCTATTTTCTCAAAAAATAAAAATTAAAATTAATTTATAGTTAAATAATTTTTATTAATATTCTTATGAATTATTACTATTTTCTAAAAGTATTTATATATTTAACTCATTAATGTAAATTACAAATAAGTTATAATAAGTATTTATATATTTAATTCGTTAATATTTTTTGGGTAGATTATTTTAATGATTCTAGTTTAATAAAAATATTATAGATATAATATTTTTATCTTTATTTGGTCGAATCTTAAATATTTTTCTTAACCTTACAAATAAAATTAACTTTATTTAAAGCTATATATAAATATATATATACTGATTTACCGATTAATCACTGTTACCAATGAGAGTAAATATCTAATTCAGACCCGAACAGATATGTTGGGAACCGGAAAAAAAAAATTCTTTAAAATGTTATAAAAACATAAAATCGGAATCGTGGTGTCTCTCTCTCCTCTTCGCAGTTGTCTTCAGTCTCCCCCGAAATCTCTCACCAAACTATCTTCGATATCGCACGCGCCGCCGCAGGCTTCGCCGCCGGCAACTGCTTTTACCCTTTTCTTCTCCCCTCTCTCTTTCTCTCTTATCCTCTCAATCCCCATAAAAACCCATAAAAAGAAGAAATCTCTCTGCTTCGTTTCTTATATTCTCCGCTTCAGTCATTGCTTTGTTCGATCTGTAATAAACGAGAGGGGAGAGAAGAGACAAAGAAAAAAAAACACAAAAAAAGATGGCTCAGGTTCAACAACCTCAAGGTCAAACTCCGAACGGCTCTGTTCCGCAGGGTGGACAGTTTGGTACGACGTCGCTTTATGTAGGAGATCTGGATGCGAGTGTGACCGATTCGCAGCTTTTCGATGCGTTTAGCCAAATGGGTCAAGTTGTGTCGGTTCGTGTCTGTAGGGATTTGGCTACTCGGAGATCTCTCGGATATGGTTATGTCAATTTCACCAGTCCTCAAGATGGTTAGTGTTCTCTCGATTAGGGTTTATTTCAATTTTGATTTTTAATTGATACCATTTTTTTGTTGAATTGTCTGGTAAATAAAAGCTTTTGCTCAGTTATGTGATAATTGATCCAAAAGAATGAGAAATGTTGTGTCTTAAACATAAATTGCACCAATTATTTGATTGTTTTCAAGAAAACAGATGTGGACTTGTTTGTTGTTCAGAAATGTCTGGTCTTGAACAGAAATTGCTTATTTATCTGTAACGAATGTGCATTTAGTAATGTTGTGTGTCTGTGGAGTTTATGTTGTGTGTCTTTGTGGCAGCTGCAAGAGCGATTCAGGAACTGAATTACATACCTCTTAATGGGAAACCTGTCAGGGTTATGTACTCTCATCGTGATCCTAGTGTTCGCCGAAGTGGTGCAGGAAACATATTCATCAAGGTATTTTATCTTTTATAAAACTGGGATACTGAAACCTTCTTTTGTTCATTTTTGCATTCTCTCTGTTATTCTCCCTTCTGCACTAAACCTGGTTATATTGGCAGAATCTGGACAAGTCGATAGACCACAAAGCATTGCACGATACGTTCTCTACCTTCGGGAACATCATCTCGTGCAAGGTAGCTGTTGATTCTTCAGGTCAATCAAAAGGCTACGGGTTTGTGCAATACGAAACTGAGGAATCTGCACAGAAAGCTATGGCTCAGCTGAACGGCATGTTGCTGAATGATAAGCAAGTGTATGTGGGACCATTCCTCAGGAGACAAGAGAGAGATTCTACTTCTAACGTAACAAAATTCACCAACGTGTATGTGAAGAATCTTGCTGAATCAACTACTGATGATGATTTGAAGAACACGTTCGGTGAGTTTGGAACGATAACAAGTGCTGTGGTGATGAAAGATGGAGATGGGAAGTCAAAGGGCTTTGGTTTTGTTAACTTTGACAATGCTGATGATGCTGCAAAGGCTGTGGAAGCTCTTAATGGAAAAACGTTTGATGATAAGGAATGGTATGTTGGTAGAGCCCAGAAGAAGTCTGAAAGGGAAACTGAGTTGAAGGTTCGGTATGAGCAGAGTTTGAGGGAAGCTGCTGACAAGTTTCAAAGCTCTAACTTGTATGTTAAGAACTTAGATGACAGCGTTTCTGACGAGAAACTCAAGGAGCTCTTTACACCTTATGGCACTGTTACATCTTGCAAGGTCCGACAAGATTCCCCTTCTCTGCTAATCTTAATTATACTCTAGTCTGTTGATTGCTTATCTAAATTTCCTTTTGGAAACATAACAGGTGATGCGGGATCCTAATGGCATAAGCAGGGGTTCTGGTTTTGTAGCATTCTCAACTCCTGAAGAAGCGACCAAAGCTGTAAGCTAATTGTAATATCTTGCTGAGTTCATGCATGATGAGCAAATATAGCTCATCAGCTTTTACTAACAGTGGGATTTTTTTACAGATGTCAGAGATGAGTGGTAAAATGATTGAGAACAAACCACTGTATGTTGCTGTTGCTCAGAAAAAGGAAGACAGAAGGGCTAGGCTGCAGGTTTGGTCTTTTTATTTCTCCAGTTATGCTTTTATAAGAATTTATGAAGTAACAAAGAAAAGCCAATGCATTCTCTCTTAACTGTTGTGCATAATATAATCTATGATTTAGATGATGCCTCTTTGAACTCTATATTTCCCTGTGAAGTGTTTCATGTAATAACGCCTATCTATACAACAATGTCAATAGGCTCAGTTTTCTCAAATGAGACCAGGTGGAATGCCACCATCCGTTGGTCCGCGTATGCCGATGTATCCCCCGGGTGGTCCTGGTGTGGGACAACAAATGTTTTATGGTCAGGGACCTCCTACTATGATTCCTCCACAGGTATTTATTTTTTCTAATACCCAATCAAGACTTTTATCACTGAGGAACATTAGTTCTTATAGTAATCACTAGTGCGTTTTGCATCATTACGATGATGATGTAAAAGGCGTAATATCTGTCATCTCATTCCCGAAGAACGTTGGTTTTATAAATAGTTTTCATGTTGGGTGATGATGTGTAAACTGTGATTGTGCATGATAGCCCGGGTTTGGCTACCAGCAGCAGATGGTTCCTGGAATGAGACCAGGTGGGGCACCGATGCACAACTTCTTCATGCCAATGGTTCAGCAGGGGCAGCAACGTCCTGGAGGGAGACGCCCTGGAGGAATCCAGCATCAACAGCAACAGCAAGTTCCCATGATGCAGCAGCAGCAGCAGCACCAGGTTCTTATCCTTCTCAATCGTAGTTATCTTCTAGTTATACCTTAGTAGGAGGTTTCATGATAATCTTTCATTGTGGGTAATGATTAGATGCACCCGAGGGGTCGAATGTTACGCTATCCTCAAGGTCGTGGGAGTGGTGATGTTCCTGGAATGCTTCCATATGAGATGCCTAGTAATATGCCGTTACGTAGTGACCCTGTGCTTCCTCAGCATGTTCCTGTTGGAGCTTTGGCTACATCCCTTGCTAATGCGTCCCCAGAACACCAGAGGACGGTAAGAAAGCTCTTTTTTTTTTTTTTTGCTTTTATCTTATGTGGGTTTGGTTCTTAAATGTTTGTTGTAATGATGTGTGTAGATGCTGGGTGAGAATCTGTATCCGCTTGTGGAGCAGCTTGAGGCAGATTCTGCAGCCAAGGTGACTGGGATGCTTTTGGAGATGGACCAGACGGAAGTGCTACATCTCTTGGAGTCGCCTGAAGCTCTCAAGGCTAAAGTAGCCGAGGCTATGGACGTTCTCAGAAGTGTCGCTGCTGGTGGTGCGGCCGAGCAGCTTGCCTCCTTGAACCTTGCCTCTTAAGTGTTCTTGTTTCTCTGTTTGATTGGGAAAATACAATTTTCAAAAGTGTGGCATGTCTTTTCCATACACAACTGGAGTGTTTTTTTTTTCTTTCCGTAGGATTCTTTGACATGGTTTGTGTTTCTCCCTTCAAACTTAATATGCTTTGTGGGAAAACTTGATCTGGCTTTTTTATTTTGGTTCTGAAACTCTAAAGTCCCTGTTGATGATCATGGACACACTATCCCATCCACCCTCGACACAAAGAGACTGGTCAACGCAACCATAACACCTGTTTCTTCTTTTCAGAAAGCATATACCACCAACTTCTGATAACTACATCTGTATTACCCTAAACTCGAATATAATACGAATGAAAAAAATGTCTAATACCATCATCAATTCATCCAAATAAACATTTATTCGTATAATCGTATGTCTTGAAATAGAGAAGAGAAATGGGTAAATAATAAAAGAGTCACTCGATGTTAAACCCGAACGTAACTAGCACGACACGTCGACACCTAATGTGCCCAAGGAACAAACAATAGCTCTAGTCACAAGATAAATGCTCACACACTCTCAATGAAGACTTCTCACTATGAAAGATTCATGTATAGCTCTAGTCACAAGATATGCTCACACACTCACAATGAAGGCTTATCACTATGAGTTGTTCCACAAAAAAAAAAAAAAAAGCTTCTCACTGTGAAAGATTCATGTATTGGACTAGTGTCTACATGCTCGTAGACGCTTATCGATCTCGAAGCTTTGACAGAACATGCATGTTGATCAAACTGTATCACAACATCTCCACACCATATCTACTGGTCTCCATCAAACATCCAAAATTACGTATTAATTTCAAAAACATGCATTAGTTAAAAAGTGACATGATGGTTTTTTCAAAAAGCCACAGCTTATTTGTCGATCAAAAGAAAATAATTTCTTAGTTCTCATTATTGATATTTTACTCATTTTATTGTATATGTTAATGCGAAATAATGAGTTTACGGTCCAGCCGTGGACGATCGAGGCGTTACAAAAAATACATGGGAATTGGATGACTCATAAATTTAAATCAGTAACTCTTTTTTTGTTTGTGAGTGACTCCTGTTACTAGATTAAGGAAAAAATCGCAGAAAAAACTTTTAAATTGATGCTTACTAGCACTTTATATCTTGGAATATTTTCGGTAGCATTTTAAACCTTCAAAGTGACATTTGTCTCACAAAAAACGTTGAACTTGAAAATCTGACTGAACTGTTTGAAATGATCATTGTCAATAGTGGTATATTTGAAATTTTTATTCTCAACTATAATATTTCATATTTTTGAAAAAAGAAATCTTATAGTTATTATGTAATTTTCTAATAAAATTAACATATCATCGTTGACAATGAATCTTTTTTCTTGTGTTCTTATTCAATCTGAATCTTAAAAACCTCTGTTGAATGATATAACACCGTTCTTGCTCTTAAGTCTATCACATCCTACTCGGAGTTGCTAGTTTTACTGGTAAAGCCTTCTGTCCTAGTGTAGAGGTCCCAGATTCGAGTTTCAGTAGCAATGGGGAGAGAAAAAACCTGATCAATTACCTATTTTTAAGACTCAGATTGTATAAGAACACAAAAAAAGATTTATTGTCAATAATGATATGTCAATTTTATTGGAAAATTTCATAAAAATTTACAAAATTATTTTTTTCAAAAATCTGAAATATAATAGTTAAGAATAAAAATTTCAAATATATCACTATTGACGATGATGGTTTCAAACAGTTTTCAATTTATTTGTAAAATGTTTCTTTATGTTCTGAACTTTTTTTAAATTTTTTGAAAATGTAATTTAGTTTTTGATTTAATTTATTTTTTTGTTCAATTTTGTGCATTTTCTTCAATTTTTGTTTAATTATCTGAATTTAAATTAATTTTTGGTATTTCATATTATTTTTTATAAATTTTTGTTTATGTACTGAGATTTTCTTTAATTTTTTAAAAAATTAATTGATTTTTATACATTTTTTTATTATTTCTTAAATTTTTATTTATTAAATATTTATTTTTTGAATTTTTTGATAAATTACTTGTTTTATCTATTCACTAGGTCAGATTTTCAATTTTAAGGTTTTTTGTGACACAAATGTCATTTAGAAATTTTTGGTATTTCAAATTATTTTTTTAGAAATTTTTGGTTATGTTTTGCAATTTTCTTTTATTTTTTGAAAATTTTATTGATTTTTATTCATTTTTATTATTTCTTAAATTTTTATTTTTTGAATTTTTTTTTGCTAAATTACTTGTTTATTAAAGATTTTGAAGTTCAAAATTTTTTGTGATACAAATGTCATTTTGAAGGTTTAAAGTGCTAGTGGAAAAACTTTAAAACCTTAAAGAATTTTCCTACACCTTTTTTTTTTTTTTTCTAACTTCCTTAACTAAAGTATTCATTCGAATAATTCTGCTCCTACATAAGTAAAACATGTTCACGTTTTCAAAATTTACCTACAAACTTTGAAACACATTAATCTCCAAAATGATGGTCGGTCATAATAGTTAATCATAATTCAAACTGAGGGAACCCTCATGTCTCTAATACATGAAACTATCCATATTAATCTTTCTAGTTTAGCATGTAAGATCGAAAAGTTTTTATTCCACACACCTAGTCTAAATAATTTAGTATCAGTTTAGTCCTTAAAACTTCACCCTAAATTACTAATATTGCCATTATTAATCAATGTGTATTATTTATGTAAATCATAAAGAGAGTTGTATTCGTAGCCCTGATTCATAGTAAAAGGATGTCTACTTAAAGCCTCTCTAATCTATTTATATTTTTTTTTGTCTCTATAATAGTATTTAATTCATTTTTATTTTTTTACCTCTGAAATAGATTGTTATATATATATATTTTCTGATAAACCCTTTCGGCTGATCCGATCGGTTCCGAAAGGAACGTATTTAGTGCTACAGTGTGGATTAGCCCGAAAACATATTACATTGTCTGATTCGAATTTGGAATATCTTCCGACTAATATTAGAAACTGAACCGATCATCTGTTATGATCCAACATGTAAACCATTTGGGCCGAAACCCAAGTACATACTGGCCAAGTAGTGATAATATAGTTAAGGAATCGAATCTAGAACTGATATGAATACTAGGATTGGACACAAATACTTGATACTCGGTTTGTACTCGCTACTTGACTTGGTTTGAAAAAAACAAGTACTTCCTCCATTCAAGTCGAGTAACAAGTAAACGGATTTTAGTACTCGCAAGTACAAGTCAAGTATCAAGTTCATTTTAGTTTTTAACTACTTGGTTTGTTACTTGATTTATTACTTGTTATTCTTTACTTGTTAATTGTCATATGTTATTTAGTTTATTAAATACTTAGTATATATTTCATTAATTAATTAAAATTTATGTATTTTATGAGTGGCCACAATTACTTGTTACTTGCATCATGTTCACTACTTGGTTAGTACACGATCCTTAAAGTCGAATATTGTTTTGACTAAGATATGTATCAAGTAATCTATTTAAAATGTCTTCAAATACAAACAAATACAAAATAATGAAATAAAAATAATTATTCAGTATTGTTTGGTTTATTATTCGTTTTTGTCAATGAACAAAAAATACACTTTTCTAAATAATAGTAAAACAATTCGTTTATATTTCAATTTTATAAGTGAATCAAACATAAGTGATATATTTATATAAACATTATGGATTTTTTTTTTATTTCTTAATGTAATCTATTTCACTAATGATTAAAAATCAGAAAATAATGAAAAAATGAAAACAATGACATATTATTTATATATAATAAATTTATTTACCTTTAAATTTTAACTAATTATCAAATAATTTACCAATAATTATCAAGTAGTTTGTAAAAATTTACAAATAACAAATAATAAAACAAGATAAGTAACTTGCAAGTCCATCAATTTTTCGCAAGTCCTTGAAACTGTAAATACTCATTTTTAACAAACTAAGTACAAGTGCAAAATTTGAATACTCGTACAAACTAAGCCGAGTACTAAGTATACCGAAAACACCAAGTACTCAACTTGTGCCCACCCTAATGAATGCACACCAAACCCTAAATAATTGTTACTAGATTAGACCATGTACATCAAAGGTACATGGTGGGAGTTCATCCACTTCCCAAAAAAAAAAGTTAAAATATTACAAAAGCTATGAACTTGTATCATTGAGTCTCTCTGTGGTGAATCTATGAATCTGTAGCATCACTATTACGTAGGTCTCACAACACGTGGTAATCTATAATTAATTTAATTTTTTATTTTTGTAAATCAAACAGAAAAAAAAAAAATAATAAAAATTATGTTTGTGAACCTCAACTCAGAGGTTCATTAATGTACATGATCTTATCATCTTTTTAAAAAATATATTGGAATAGAACCTATTTCTATTATAGAATTTCTTTATTTTAGAGGTAAAGTAAAGAAATACATTAGAGATCATCTTAGATTGTTTGCAAATTTATTTATCTACACCATTTCCTAGTTTTATTACTTTTTAACAAAAGAAAAACTGATAGAACGTTCCTATATATATTGTTTTTGTCAACAAGCGTTTTTTTAAAAAACGAGCGTTTCTATTTACTTTAGGATTAACGAAAGACAGACCACTTGTTTTTTTTTTACCGACGCTGTCTTTTTCGTGACCATATTTATTAATTTTTTTTTACTGAAATTTCATTTATTCTTATTAATCTTTTTTGCAGAAGAAATGCTATGTTTTGTATGTTCTTGAACCGTCGACCTTTGATTTTTTTTGAGTTCTTGTTTTATTTTATTTTTTCTTGCTGTAGATTTTAGTTACCTTTTGGTGGTCTATTTATGTAATATTTGTTTTCATTAATAAAATATTAAATGACAGTAAAAAATCTAGAAAGAAAGAAGATATCACTGAGGCAAGTCAGACAAGTGACGTTATTACACTAAATACTGGCAGAATCATTCATTACTAGTTTGCTACATAGCACCATATTTTTAATTATTAAATCATATATCTTCAGATTTTTTTTATACATCATAATCTTTCAAAACTTAATTGCAATAACTCTAGAAAAAATATAGATTACTTTCTTTTTTGAAAACAAAAGTCACATGAATTCTGTACGTCTCTTAATCCTCTCCTTGCCTAAACCAATGCTTATCTCCTCAATTTTTCAAATAATTTTATTCTTTTTTTCTCATTTCTGTCTACGGAGAAATTAATAAGCAATTTTCCGGGGAAAACAAAGTCGAAGAAAAGCCTTAAGAATCGTGCATAGGAAAAAGACAACCACCACACCCACAAAATTAAAAAAAAAAAGAGGACAACCCATCAAGCAAGATTGCTCTCGAGACCCACCAATCTCTCAACCCTTTAGGTCTGCTCTCTCTAGGGATTTTTCTGGGTACCATTTCTCTCAATCTTCTCTAATTTTCCTTCTTTAATTGTTTAGATCGTTCTTGATTTGATGCATTTTCAATTGTTTGGGGGCAGATCCGGATTTCAATTTCAATTTTCATTTCTCTAATTGGAGATTTGGTTTTGTAATTAACTCGATATGTTTGATAATTGAATCAGAAATGTGTTCTTGAATATGAGATGTGATTTCTTTATCTTTGTGGAAATGCTTATGTATGTGTAGATAGATGCTCAAATATTACAAAGTTTAACTGCCAAGATCATGTTTTTATGTGTAGATGCTCAAATGTTAATCCCACACAAAGTTATTTGATGTTTTTTTTATGTGAAGTTGTTAATATGAATTTATTTGTGAAACATAAATGCAGAAGCTATACTTGGAGCCTGAGCAAAGCCTGTGATGGTAATGATTTCACTTGTGTTTGTTACTCTTCTTACAAGTTCACATGCTTATTTATTTTCTTGTCTGCTTCTGTTAGGTCTCCTCAAAGTCCTTGTAACTTTTGAACGAGTATTACTTGTTTTATGAATCCAATGCATCAAGGGCAGCAGAATACTGGTGGTGGTGGTTCATCCACTGAATTGAATCAGGGAGATAATGAATCGGTCTATAGGGGGACAGAGACCATGATGAATCAAGAGGACAATGAATTTCCAGTCAGTAGTAGTACTCCTTCAGGGAGACCAACTTACGCAAGTCCTAGTTCTTCTCATAACTGGTGGAGGCCTGGAGAATCCAGCTCCGTGTCAGGGCCATCTGATCAGGTCGAATACAAGACAAATCACCAGCTGCAACAAGATGGAAGACAGTTAGGTCTGATGCTTCATGGAGGGGTTCATGCTGTCAGAAACGGACCCACTTTCTTGCGCGGTTCAAGCTCTAATGTAAATATGAGCATGGACATGGACAGCGATGACTATGGTACACATACTTCCGGGCTCGTTTTCAGTCATGGGAGTTCCTTAGGAAGTTCAGTTCAGGCCACTGGAGAGAGCAGCAGTGGCCCGGCGGCATCTTCTTTGGATGGTTGGGGTTCCTCCTGCAAAAGAAAGGCTCTTGAAGCTGCAGCTCCTACTCCTAGTCCTGACTGCGTTTTCCAGACTGAACATGGTGCTTCGCATGGAGGTCTTTCTCATTACGGTGCTTCAAGTAGTTTGAGTTTGGCTACACCCTCACAAAGCTCTCCAAATCATTTTGATCGGACAGAACAAATGTTTGGATCTGGTGGTGGAAGAGCTGCTTTTCATACTTTAAGAAACGCTGACACTTCATCTAGACCTGGCAGAAGATTAAATCCGAGGCAGCCTCATGAGTCTTTAGGATTCAGCTTATCTCATAGTGGAGGTTCTATGCGTCCCACTGGATCTTTGCAACAGAGTTTACCATTAAACTCTCCTTTCGTAGATCCTCCGGATGTGAGATTCACAAGTGGCTCAAGCAGTGGTGAGAATCAGACAAATCCAGTCCATCTCCCTGCTTTGACAAGAAACATACCCCAATTTGCATGGGACACTTCTTTCAGTTCAAGAGCAAGCACTTCTTCGGGTATTGGGATGCCTGCACCACAGTGGGAAACACCGAGAAGCAATCCAGAGCAGCAGCAGCCCATGTTTGGAGCACCTGCAAGTGACATGAGAAACCCTGTGCATGATCAATCTATTTGGAGCTTCTCTCGTGGAAACCCTGCTTCATCTATAGATTCTCCCTTTGTTTCTCGATCAGGGCCGAGTTCAGCTGTTCATGCGCATCAGCAGCAGCTCAGTCCCGCGTGGATTCCTCCTCAGAGTGCCCCGCTGCATAATCCATCAGAACTTTCTCCGTGGTCTTTGTTTCCTAGTATTGAATCTCAATCTACTAGTCACGGTGCATCTCTTCCTTTACTGCCCACAAATGAGGCTGCAATGCCGTCTAGTTCTAATGGTCGGAGCCATCGCTCGCGGCAAAGAAGATCAGGGCTGTTGTCTGAGAGGCATAATGAGCTTCTCCACTTGCGTCACTTAGGGAGGAGCTTAGCTGCTGACAGTGATGGAAGGAATCACCTCATCTCTGAGGTATTTAAAATACTCTGCTCTTCTTTACTTATTAATTAGTATTGCTATAAATGAATCTTTGTAGTATCTTCTTAACTGCCTAATTGTAAGATAGTTATATCCTTCCCACAAAAGAATCTCGAGAGTATGCAGATATGGGTTGGTGTGATGGTTTTTAGTATGTTATGTTATGTGTGTCTAATTTGAAACTCAGGGTTGTTAGTTTAGTTGGTCTTCTCTTTGTTTTGAGGTTTTTTCTTGTGATTTTCTGTGGAAAATTTTAATATCCTGAGTACATAACTCTTAGGTGTCATATTATTTGGTTTTGTACTCTCAAATTTTATGATCTAACTTCATATAGGTAGAGTTAAAAAACTGATTCGTGCTTGGTTTCTTTGAGGTGTTATTTTCTTTTGAAGTAAGGCTAGGTAGGGGCAGATTATTGATCAAGAATTTTTAGACTTGAATGTATAAGTTGGTCGAAATTGTATTTCTTTGGATCCAAAGTCGCAAGACTATGAGATATATCACTTTTTTGGTTAATAAAAAATCTAAAAGGGCTCTGCTGGAAAGCATTTTGGCTAGTGAGCTCTAATCTAAAGAGCTATGCATTCTGATTTTACTTTCATTTGCAAACCTTTTGATGTGTTACGGTTTTGGAAATGTTTGTTTTCTAGATACCACTTTCCTTATTAGATGATATAACCGTAGCCTTCTGCTGCTCATGGCGTGTCACGATTATTCTTGATATTGTTTATAAACCTCCGTAGCAACTTGTACACGTAATTTAGTTTTGTGCATTTTCGATAAGAATGTTAATAGTTGGGTCGCACTTGTTCTGTCTTTTTGTTTGCAGATACGTCAGGTGTTAACGGCCATGAGAAGAGGAGAGAATTTACGAATTGAGGTATGATTTCGACACAAAGTGGTGATTTTAAACGATCGTATCTGTTAATATTAGTTAATGAGTCTGTGTCCTGATGCGAAAAAGCCATGCCAAGAAATAAAACCTTTAAGCCATAGTTTCTTGCGATCAAGTCTCTGACGTCTTTAATAGCTGCAGTGTGTCACAGTTTTAAAGTATTATAGGTCTCACATTATGAACTCAATATTAGGCACTAGTGAGTTACTAAACACTTTCTATTTTATGTAGCTGATCTTCCGTTTTTTTTTTCCAACTCCATAGGATTACATGGTGTTTGATCCACTTATCTTCCAGAGCATGGCTGAAATGCACGATAGGCATCGGGAAATGCGCCTTGATGTTGACAACATGTCGTACGAGGTGAATACTTATGGTCCTTTTTTTTTTAATATCGCAATCTTCCCATTTGCCAATATCGTGTGGGAATGAATGTATAGGAGCTATTGGCACTTGGGGAACGCATAGGAGATGTGAGCACTGGGCTTAGGGAAGATGTCATATTGAAGACAATGAAACAACACAAATGTACATCTTCTTCTGCTAAGTTGCATCTAGAGCCGTGCTGTATTTGCCAGGTATTTAACTATGAACTTCAAGTTTGTGTCTGCCTCCTGTAACCTTCTTTAACTATTTATTATACATTAATCATGCATCTGTTATGACAGGAAGAGTATGCAGAAGGTGATGATCTTGGGACCTTGGAATGTGGCCATGAATTCCACAAGGACTGTATCAAACAATGGGTCATGCTCAAGAACCTCTGCCCCATTTGCAAGACGGTGGCATTAACGACGTGATAGCACTCGATGTACCTCCATTCATCATCATTGCGATGCCAAAAGAAAATAAAATAGAGATCTTAAAAGATCTGTTCTATCTATCTGTATCTCATTTGAAAATTTTAATTGTTATGCTTACTCGTTGTTACTGTTCTAAGAACATTATGACAGATTCATAAAATAGCCATGGAGAAAGAGAATAATTCCCCTTTTTACTAAAAATCATTGTTGATTTCTAGGGGTAAACAGGCCTTCAATTTCTTCTCTCAAGTTATACACCTCTATAAAGAATCGTTTCATATTCTTTCATCCCATAAAGATTATTACTATTATCATTAACACTACACCTCAACAGATACGTCAACACACAAGGCTTAGTTAGTGGCACAAATCCTTCACCGTTTAAAACACTTTGCCAGTCCCAAACAGACTTTACCAGCACCAGTCCCTGATAAGCTTTCTGTCTTCCCGTTATCATCACTTCGTCTTCAGAGACAATCCGGCGTGAAGATTTTTTCTTGGTAGACATTGCTTCCATAGCTTTCTTGTAAGCAGTCAAGGCATAGCTTACATATTACATGATAAGATCAAAACGACATATGAGAAACTGCGTAGAATTAAGAGATAGTAACTCACCCAATAAAGGTCAGGCTGATAATGGGCCTACGGTGGAAGCCCAAACAAATGATAGAGGACAGAGTTTGAAGCCCAAAGAACAGAGTTTGTCCTGTTCTACTGCAGTGTTGAAGTCACAACTTTGGCGTGAAGATTGTACGTCAAGGCTAGTTCACAATCTCGTTACAACGAACAAATTCGATTGTCTGGCCAGCTGTGCGGTCATGTGCTGATGTTTGACTGGAAGGATAAGATCCATGAGATGTATATAATGATGTGTGAAGTCACGTTTGTATTCAAGTTGAAAACATTTTGAAATAAAACAAAAGTTGTTCTTCTTCATTACGTTTCTGGTTGTGTTCTTTATGGTATCAGAACAATGGAAGAGCCTTCAGAAACTTTGTCTACTCTGTCTTTGAGTATTACTCTGAAGCTCACATCCTCGAACTATCTTCTCTGGAAGACGCAGTTCGAGTCTTTCCTTTCCAGTCAGTCGTTGCTTGGTTTCCTCAATGGATCTACAGTTCGGCCACCACCAACAGTCACGACGAGAAACAGAGATGTTGTTACCGAAGAAGCAAATCCGAAGTTTACTCGATGGATGCACAAAGATTAGTTGGTGATGGCTTGGCTGTTTGGTTCGTTGTCCAAAGAGGCGTTTCGTTCTGTCTACGGTTTGCACTCAGCTCAGGAAGTTTGGTCGAGTCTGGGTCAAAAATACAACAAAGTCTCAGCCACACGCAAGCTTGATCTTCAAAGAAAACTTCAAGGTATGTCTAAAGGTCAGAAGTCAATGACAGAATACCTAGGAGATTTAGTTTGTGATAAGTTAGACTCAATAGGGTGTCCTGGTAGCGAACAAGAGATGATTTATAGAGCATTGAGTGGTTTGGATAAAGAATACAAGTCCATAAGTACGGTTATTGAGCTCTCAATGGACCCTGTTCAACAGATGAGTTTTTAAGATGTAGTTTTTAAACTCGTTGCCTTTGATGCTAAGTTAAAAGTGTATACTCAGACCACAGAAGCTACTCCTCACTTGGCCTTTCATACAAGTCATAGTTCCTATACAAGAGGCTGAGGAAGAGGAGGTTACAGAGGCAGAAGCAACTACTCTACGAGAGGGAGAGGATTTCAACCACAGTTTGCAGTTCTGGTTCAAACAACAACAACACAAGGCCGGTGTGTCAGATATGTGGAAGGTATGGTCATATAGCTACCAAGTGTTACAACAGATTTGACCAGAACTACCAGTCTCCAGACTCAATGCATACTGCACTCTCCACCATGAAATTCTCAGATCAGGAACAGTCAACAGGTCAGGAATGGTATCCAGATTCTGCAGCCTCTACTCATATCACCAACAACGCAGCTCAGCTCCAGTCATCCGAGGCATATCTAGGTAATGACCAAGCGATTGTTGGTAATGGTGATTATTTACCTATCACTCATGTTGGATCTCTTTCTCTGCAAACATCTCAAGGTACTTTGCCTTTAAATGATGTTCTGAATAACAAAGTCTCTCTTGTCTGTGTCAAAGCTAACTGATGATTATCCTTGTGAGTTTACATTCGATGTTGATTATGTCTGTGTTAAGGACAAAGCAACAAGGAAGGTGATCACACAAGGAAGCAGTCATAAAGACCTGTATGTGCTGAAGGCCACAAGATTCAAAGCTTTCTACTCAACAAGGCAGCAAGCAATAGGTGATGTTGTATGGCATAAACGGCTGGGTCATACACACAAGGATGTTCTTCAGAAACTATCTAGAAGTTCAGCCATAGTAATGAATAATACAAGCACAAGTCTGTGTTGTGATGCTTGTTATTTAGGCAAAAGCTCAAAACTGCTGTTTTTAGATTCAGATTCTGTTTCACATCATCCTTTACAGAGGATTCACTATGACTTGTGGGGACCTAGTCTTGTTGTGTCCTTACAAGGATTCAAATATTATTTGATCTTTGTTGACAATTATTCAAGATTCACATGGTTTTATCTCTTGAAGCTCAAGTCTGATTTCTTCTTAGTGTTTGTTCATTTTCAAAGTCTTGTCGAGAATCAATACAAACACAAGATTGGTCAGTTTCAGTGTGATGGAGGAGGAGAGTTTTTCAGTCAAAAGTTTCTTCAACATCTTGCAGATCACAGGATAAAACAGCTGATTTTGTGTCCTCACACGCCACAGCAGAATGGTATCTCTAAGAGAAAGCATATGCATATAACAGAAGTGGGAATCCCGTTGATGTTTGAAGTAAAGTGCCACAGAAGTTGTGGGTTGAGGCATTCTTCACGGCTACTTTTCTTGGAAATATGCTACCCTCGTCTGTTCTTGAAGACAACAAGAGTGCGTATGAGAAGTTGAATGAGAAAGCTCCAGTTTACACATCTCTGCGTGTGTTTGGCTGTAAATGCTATCCATACTTGAGGCCACATGCAGAACAAACTGGATCCGAAGTCTCTTGTTTGTGTGTTTTTGGGGTACAACGAAAAGTACAAAGGGTATAGATGTATGTATCCACCAACAGGGAAGGTTTTTATCTCAAGACATGTTCTGTTTGATGAAAGTCAATACCCTTTTGCAGACATCTATAGTCGTTTTCATCCTCCAACTGATTCCACTCTGTTAAATTCTTGGCGTTTAGTCAATCTTCGGCCTGGTCATCAGACAGAGGAATCCAGTTCTTTCCAAAAGGTCACAGAAGATTTACCTGCACGGTTCATTGTGACACACACACCAACTCAGTCTGCAGGTGTTCAGAGTCAAGAGTCTCATCATTCAAATGAGTCAAAGGCATCTCATGGGAATGCAGAAGGTGACTCTGCTTACTCCAAGAAGATTCATGTATAGTCAAACCGAATCCAAGATATCCTTTACTCACCATCAAAACTGATCATCCAGAACCAGGAAGTTTTAAAGCAGCTCTTAAGGATCCACGTTGGACAACAGCAATGGGGGTTGAAGTGGATAACATGAAAGAAACTGATACGTTTGAGTTGGTTCCACCAGAAGATTGGACAAAATCCGTTGAACTGTGGTTGGATTTACAAGAGGAAACTAAATGCACAAGGTAAATTACTTCATGCACGTTTAGTGGCCAGGGGTAATGAACAAGAAGAAGGGTTAAAGTTCTTGGAAACATTTAGTTCGGTGGTTCGTATTGCTACCATTCGAACAGTACTACATATTGCAGTTACAAAGAAGTTGCAGCTTAAGCAACTGGATGTGCAAAACGCATTTTTACATTGAGATTTGAAAGAAAATGTGTTCATGAGACAACCACCAGGGTTTGAAGATGCAGACAAGCCTGATCATGTTTGGAGGTTGAAAAAGGCTGTTTACGGTTTAAAACAAGCACTACGAGCTTGGTTTGACAAATTTAGCAATTTCCTTCTTCGGTTTGGGTTGAGTGTAGCTTCCCTGATCCTTCACTGTTTATCTATCATCAAGGTACAGACGTGATATACCTTCTTCTGTATGTTGATGATATGATTTTGATAGGTAACAGTGACATCTTTTTGGGTAAACTATTAGAGCAGCTGTCGTCTGTGTTTAGAATGAAGGATATGGGCATGCTTCACTATTTTCTTGGTATACAAGTGCATCAGTGTGAAGGTGGTTTGTTCCTAAATCAGTCTAAATATGCTCAAGACTTGTTGGTTGCTGTAGGAATGAGAGATTGAGCGCCAATGCCAACGCCTTTACCTATGAAGCTTGAAAATCTCTCAGGTCATGATGAACTATTTGCTGATCCATTTTACTTCCGGAGTCTTGCAGGAAAGTTACAGTATCTCACTTTGACAAGGCCAGACTTGCATTTTTCTGTTAATTACATCTGTCAGAAAATGCATCAACCTAGTGTCTCTGACTTTGGTTTGTTGAAGCGTATACTTCGCTATGTCAAAGGTACTTATGATATGGGGATAAGTATCACTGCAAACACAAATTCTACACACTGTGATTCAGACTGGACATGATGCAAGCAAACAAGACGTTCCACATGAGGATTCTGTACAATGCTTGGTTCTAATGTGATCTCATGGTCAGCTAAGAGACATGACACGGTTTCTAAGTCTTCTACAGATGCAGAATATCGACAATGTCTGCTGCAGCATCAGAGATTGTTTGATTGCAGAATCATCTCAAGATAATGGGTCTTAATCAGAGAGTAACTCTTCTTTTGATGTGTGATAACTTACTGCAGTGTGCTTGATGGCTAATCCAATGTTCCACAAGAGGACGAAGTATTTCAACATTGACTATCACTATGTCCGTGAAAGGGTAGCGCTTAAGTCTCTTGAAGTCAAGCACATACCAGCAACACTGCAAGTTGCAGATATCTTTACCAAACCTATGGCGCAACAGGCATTCTTCAAATGGCGAAGCAAACTTGGAGTTTCCGTGCCTCCTGCGCCAAGTTTGAGGGGGAGTAAAGGCCATGCTGATAATGGGCCTACGGTGGAAGCCCAAACAAGTGACAGAAGACAGAGTTTGAAGCCCAAAGAATAGAGTTTGTCATGTTCTACTGCAGTGTTGAAGTCACATCTTTGGCGTGAAGGTTGTACGTCAAGGCCAGCTCACAATCTCTTTACAACAAATAGATTCGATTGTCTGGCTAGCTGTGCGGTCATGTGCTGATTTTTGACTGGAAGGATAAGATCCAGGAGATGTATATAATGATGTGTGAAGTCACGTTTGTATTCAAGTCGAAAACATTTTGAAATAAAACAAAAGTTGTTCTTCTTCATTACGTTTCGTGTTGTGTTTTTTACCCAAAAGGCTGTTACGCTCCAGCCACTCCTTCCAGTCGTCCAAGAAGAAGACTACACGCCGGAAGAACAACCTCATTACCTTTAGATACGAGACGCCTGTGTAAACGGAAAAATAAGTCAGTTCACATGTGCATGTAACAAAAGGAAAATACATGACCTATACCTACAAAAAAATTCCAGAAAGTGATAAAGCCAAGAAGAAACATAAAAGCATATATTCCACTCCACTTCTTCTTAAAGGCATACTTTTCTACCTAATTTGGAAAACTCCTCCACGATAAAACAACCACTCTGTGGATGGAGAAAGAATCTCTCCTCACCGCCATTGAGAGGAGAAAAAAGTATGAGAAGAGGACCTCGTTCATCCCCAGGGAAATATTCATGAACTTGTCAAGGTTCTGAATCGCTATAAAAGTCCTTCAAGTAAGGGGTGATATATCATGGCTGTTACTGGTTTTTGACTATAATATAAGTCCATTTTTAGAGTCTTTATATTATGTTTCAAGTCGTTTTTAGAATCTTTATAGGTCATGTATGATTTAAAGTATTGTGGAGATGATGGAATTATCTGGAGCTTTGAGAGTTTTGATGATGAGAAGTTGAAGTTGGAGTCAATCTTTCACTATGGTGAGGTCGACACCCATCCAAGTCCAAAAACCGATGTTTATAACGATGTTTCAAGAAATTTCACAAGTGCCTTGAATTTTTCAATATTTTCACAAGAGTTTCAAGTCAAGTTTTTACCCTATATTATGTTTTCTTAATAATTATATAGTCTACGTTTTCATAATCTTCTTTGATCTTCGGTTTTTTATTCTATTTATGCAATCTATTCTGTCTTTGATTATGTTTTCTGTGATCATGTTTTCTGTGATCATGTTTAAGTAATTCACTTGTTAGATGTGAGATTTTTAGGGTCTATGATGAATTGCTAATTGATAGAATTGGTAGGGTGTCTATTGAATTCTTCATCAGGATTGTTGTTAATGTTAGTTTCTATAGTAGTTAACTAGAATCTTGATCATAGGATAGTTGATAGACACGAAAGTGTTACTGATTACTTGAACTGAACCTTGCATGAGCTAAACACCTATTCACAAAGAGATTTGGTCTAGGAATTTAGTGAACTCAGATCTGGAACTAAAGCTTGTCTTAATTTTATGAATTCACATTTCTGAATTGCATGTCTGATTTCTCTAGATCCAACGCTTTTCTCATTTTTTTTACAGTCGATCTTTTTATTGCTTTGTTTATTGCTTTCTATTATTGAGTTAGCTTAATATGAAACTAATAGTCTATTGTGTGAACTATAGAATCTTTGTGGATTTGATTCCTAAATATAGTATTACATCTTTGAAATTTCAGAGACACTAATCACCAGTAAACTAGATGTAAGATTTTGTTAAGAATTTATTTTTAGTTACATTTTTTCATGTTTCAGGTGCATACCTTACAATATCAGAAACAACAAGAAAATTAGTTTTTGGACCTTTCAAACAAGGAGCTAGATGTGTTGGAACGTTTGATATGTAAGTCCAAGAAGCAAGTGTCGATCGACACTCCAGCATTATCAAACACACCAGTCGAGAAGAAGCTTCGATTAACACTACTCAAGCATCGATCAACACTCTACTCGAAACTACAATATGGTTAATCTGATTATGCTAGTTTCTGATGCACATAGAGTTCTACGAGACCAACATGGTCTTGCATATAATGACACTGGTCAGAGGCTTGATGACGTTGGAAATATGATGCATGCTGAATAAAATATCAACACCTAAGGTAAGAAAATTTCTCGCTACTTCCCAAATTCAAAATTTGTAGGTTTTTAGAAACAAATCAAATAATATTATTAGTACTTAATTAAAAGAAAAGTAATATAACTAAATAGTCCACGCGTAACGCAGACACGAGCTTGGCCTAGTAGTTCAAAAAAAATTCATTGTATTGGTCATATAAAATCTATTGAAATTTAAGATTTGTCCTCATCTACGTTATTTACAGATAAGAATTCTTACTAATGGTAACATAATCTAGAAATACAGTTGATACATTTAGTAGTAGGATGTACTCCAAAATCTTTTTTATGAATACTAATACAGTCCCAAAAATAGTGTCTTAAGTTTTTAACATGATTCATCTAAGGAAAAGGGATAAAATTGGGTAAATTTTATATAAATATTTTGAGGGAATCTATTCGAATTAAACTGTCACTTTTGGGTCGATATTAGTTGTCTTGCCTATTTAAAGTGATTCGTACACAATCAAAAACCTCACCCCTACAATGTCAAGTCACAATGCACCACATCCACCGAGGGATCTTACCAAGCAGAACTCATGGTCTCATGATGTGAACCGCAACAAGGCTTGGCTGCAGAAGAAAAAGAAACGACGAGTAGATCTCATTAATCACAGCAAGAGCGTCACAAACGACGATCTCGAAGAGCTTAAAGGTTTTATCGAGCTTGGGTTTGGTTTTGAGCCAGATTCTCCTGATCTGACTCAAAGGCTCAGCGATACACTCCCAGCTCTAGATTTGTACTGCGCTGTTCAAAGACAATATAGTAACCATTTGTCCCGGACTTCGTCATCCGCATCGGAACGCAGCAGCTCTAGCACCACAACTATTGTCAACAAAGGTATGTGAATTCAAAGTATGGAGTCTGTTGTTCTTTTTTTTGTGGTTGTCACCTTAATGGTCAACTAGTCCCAGGTGTGAGCATGCTCTTTGTTAGTTTTTTCACACAAGCGTTCCACTCATAAAACATCCAGGCCAAAACTTATGAATATATTTTTTTTGTTTTTGTTTTTGTGTTTTGTTTTGTTTTGATATCATCTTTATTTGATATATCTGAAAAGGTGATGATCAGAAGACAATGAAGCAGAAGCTGAAGCAATGGGCTCAGGTTGTCGGTTTTTCGGTGCGCCTATTCTCCAAGAAACCAAATTGATTCTCTTAGATTTTTTTCTAATGATGGACAAAACATATTGATATCATAATAACATGATTGCCAGTATGAATAAAAATGTATCTCTAAGTCTAAGCTATCAAATGTTAAGTATATTTATAAGCCAGTTGCACCTTTTATTTTCTTAATAACCAAAACAAACGTTTTGCAAAACCAATAATTGCTTATGCTGTTTATATCTTTCTTTTCTTAAAACCAATTAAAGCATCTCCCCCTTGAATGGATTTCCAATCATTCCTCTTCTGAACGTGGTTCTAGACTTTTGAAAGCCACAAGCTCTAAATAAAAAAAGACTGAAAACAATATTTATGCACTTGGAAAGTGTCGAACAAATACCTTTGGTAAAATTGTGGCCGATTAATTACTTATTTATTGGCGGCCGAAAGCCCATGCTTCATTGGCTTGGCCCAAGGGCCGCCTCTCATATGTACCAAAAATAAAACAACTCACTCAAGAATCATCATGATTCTAACCAAAATACTTTTTTTGAGTAGATTTTCTTTAACATCATATAGAATGCAAATTTCATTTTAGGCATGCATTTGGGTCCTCAGATTGGGTCTTATTGGATCCGGATCCCTCGGGTCTTAAATATCTAGACTTGGAATTTTTTGGTTCCGGTTTGGTTTGGAACGTGTCAAGTCTGGGTTGGTTCATGTCTATTTTTCTAGGAACTGTTTATTTCGAGTCGGTTTGGGTATTTAGAATCCGAAAAGGATTAAAAGACGGGAAAATATACGAAAACCCAAAAAATAATTAGAAATATCCAAAATCTAATCTGAAGAAATGCAAAATACCAAAAATTATATTAGATTACCCAAATTATATTTTCGAAAATCTAAAATTTATCCAAAACTATACCCGAAAACTCGAATCCAAAACTATACCCGAAAACCCAAACCCAAAAATAATATCCATAATACCAAAAATAGTGAAATACCAAAATGTGTACCTAGTATATACTAGAAATTCCAGATATTTTGGATATTCCATCGAGTCTCAGGTTTGGATCAGGTCGGGTCGATTTCAAGACATGTGGGTCCTCCACAACAAGACCCAATGCGATAATATGGCATTATCCGGATCCGTCCCGAACGAGTTTTCTTAGGTTGGTTTCGACGGGTAGATAAAATGCCTAGGCCTAATTTCACTAATCTGTTTATTAGAATAAGAACAAGAGCAATGACCAATTTCCTCTTCTTATTGAACAAGGAGACCCCTCAGACATTAGGGAGCACACTATTGAACCAAAATATTGGAGAACTGTCTTGTATGGACAATGCTTTCAAAGACATTGCAAATAGGCTGTAGCATATGATGATTATTGGGCAGGACAACTACCTTTGTATTAGGGCATGGACTTTTATCCGGGATCCGGATTTGATCCGAGAACCGCTCCGGATTCACTCCGAAATTAGGATATTTGGGGGTGTCCGGATCCAAATCCGGATAGTAAAATCTCGGATCCGTGCAAACCGAATCTGAATATCTTAATTTTTAGGTCCGGATATCCTGATTCAGATCCGTATTTTTAAAAAATATATCAAATTTTTATTTTATTATTAATTATAGCTGATATATTAATATTTATACATAAAATAAGTTTAATAATATTCTAATTTTATATTAATAATATTATGTCATATATATATATATATATATATATTCATAAATTATGCTTAAATATTTAGTTTATGTATTTTTTAGAATTTTGATTTTTTTTTTTAATTTTTAATTATTTTTACGGATCCGAATCCGAATCCGGATACCCGTAGATATCATAATATCTAGACGGATATCCGGAGTCCGGATATCCGGAAGACACGAATCTGAATCCGGATACTAAAATCACGGATTCGACGAATCCGGATCCGGATACTTCACATTTTCTGGATATCTGGATCCGTCCTACCCCTACTTTGTAGTGAAGAATCTGAAAGTATGAACAGTGTGGCATCATGTGTAACTCCTTCCCAGTCAGACATTTGATGTGCAGTGTGACACAACATTATTCATTGCACTTATAAAACCTTAACAACAGTGTTCTTAAATTTTGTTTGCATGATTTCACTGTTTTTACATATTTTATGGATTTAGCTGCACATTTATCAGATCTAAGACAGAAACTCTGAAATTAAACTTGATATTCAGAAATTCATAAGTTTTCTGGATTGAGTTAACTCGATTAAGCTAAATTATTTGGCAATTTTTTATTTAGCCGGATAACTCTGACATTATACAGCCTACCGCCTAACCATGACTATTACTATCTATTAACTACGGTGACTTACCGTTGAGCGACTATCCGGCCGAGTTTTCGGACGCGTTTTTGAATAGAGGCTGCTGCTCTAGATCCAATTTTTCCAATTCATATATATATATATATGCATACATACAAAATATTATTAGACTGAACAAATAAATCTTTTCATACTAACTTACCTAAATCAATGATAAATTACACATTGGTTAGTAATTACACAATTTGTTATTTGATTTTCTCCCATAGAATTAATCCACTCATCTTTCTCTTCATCTTTATTCTCTTTTTCATATCACAACATTTAGTCCACATACGATCAATATAGCTCCCACTACACTGAAATTTTGAAACTACTAGCATATGAATTTAATGTATTGTTGCCCACGTCCTAACTAAAGTTTTTTCCATCTAAGAACTAAACACCAACCAAAGAAACAATTTTGAGCATGAGAGGGTTGAAGTTCAGGGGCAAATTCAGGATAATTTTCTAGTGGGTGCATAGCTGGTACAACATTTAGAATTGACAAAGTGGAATCGAACCTGGACATCAAAGGGATGAACAAAAGTATTGAATCATCTCAACTAGTGATTTTGATAAACATTTACATACTCAATAATTATTATTAAAAATATTATAGATGCATGTGCCCCATTCTTGTTGCACCAGCTTGTCCCTTGATACTGTTTCTAGTGGAAGAATAGTTAAGGCTCAAAACAAAACAAATATTATTCGGTGTAGCCCAATCTTCTTGTTTAATTGTAGGAGAGATGAGGGAGCGTGGAAGCCACACGTGAAATAGCGGTGGAGAATAATTTGGATGATTTCGGTTTGGACCGAACCGGGAAATGTCTTTCTTATATTTGTTTCTTAGACATCCTGAGAAGTCGTACGTTACGTTGTGAACATTATAAAAGCTAGAAGAGCCACTACCGATTTACTATTTTTATCAGTAAATTTGTAATAACCACCGTAAAAATGTAGGGATTCTTAATTTTCTAGTGGATGCGTAGCGAAGATTTGATGGGAAGCGACGAGAGAAGAGAAAAACTTTTGTGTTTAGAGAGAGAGAGGAATGTAAAGAATTTAGATAAACCTTTATGATAGATGTTAGAAGATGGAGATAATAGAAAAAAAAAATACAATTCGAATACGAAACAAGTACCGCTAAGTTTTGTTCGAAGTCAAAGCTGCCTCTATCAAGAAATTGTGAAAATAATCAGTTTCATTAAATTCAAATTTAAAATTGATTTCAGTATCTATTATATTAAAAGAGAAGTCATGATTCATTTCATGTGTGATATTTTAGTTTAGACCATCTCTAGAGTTTTATAAAATTTTACATAACATTATAATATCTTTTCATATCTTTAATTTTTGTTTGAAATACAAATAAATTGTTTTAATAAAATTCTAACAAAATCTTTTAAAAATCTTTTAGAATCTTTTTTAAGATATTGTTTCAAAAATTATTTGATTAAAATTTTAGCTATCATAAAATAGAATTAAAACTTTAATTCATTTTTAATTTATAAACAAAAAATTAAAATTATGTAAAATAGTTTTAACAATATCCCAAAAAAAAGTTATGTATTATGTAAGTCCAACTTAATTAATTTTTACATAGATTTCAAATTTAGAAATAAAACAAAATATAGAAATTGGTAATCTTACATAATAACGTTTTTAAAAATTGTTACAAAAATAAAAATTTATAAATTTTATATCAATAATATTATAAGTCACATAAAAATTATTATAAAATTGGATAGCATACAAAATCAAATTATACTTATTTATAGATAAATTTTATTATATAATTTAAAATATTTTTGTATTAAAATCTAGTTTATAATTAGAAGAAGAAAAAAAAGATAGAGAAGAAAAAAAAATCGGAGAAGTGTCTGTTTCCTCCTCACAACAGGTGATGATGAGAAGAAACTTGACCCTTTGGCTCGCTCAAAAGCTCATCTCTTCCTTCTACAAAAATGGCCACACGTATCCTACCTCCTCTTACCACCTCCTTCCTCCTCCTCCACCATGACTTCCCTCTCTCTCCGTTTCACCCTTCCTCTCCTCCCTTCAAAACCAAGAAGATCCGTCATAGTCGCCGCTCAGACCGCTCCTCCCGCAGAAGCTACCGTAGAAGCCGAACGGCTCGAGCCGAGAGTAGAGTTGAGAGATGGGTTTTATATTCTCAAGGAGAAGTTTCGTAAAGGAATCAACCCACAAGAGAAGGTGAAGATCGAGAGTGAGCCAATGAAGCTGTTCATGGAGAATGGTATTGAAGAGCTCGCCAAGAAGTCTATGGAAGAGATCGATAGCGAAAAGTTGACAAAAGACGATATTGATGTTAGACTCAAGTGGCTTGGCTTGTTCCATCGCAGGAAGCATCAGTGTATGTTGACTTCTTCCTCTTTATTAGAAATCAAAAGGCTTCTTGTTGACTCTTTTTTTTTTTTTTTTTTGCAGATGGTAAGTTTATGATGAGGTTGAAGTTACCGAATGGTGTGACCACAAGTGCACAGACTCGGTACTTAGCGAGTGTGATTAGGAAGTACGGGGAAGATGGATGTGCTGACGTGACAACAAGACAAAACTGGCAGATCCGTGGTGTTGTGTTGCCTGACGTACCTGAGATCTTGAAAGGTCTTGCTTCAGTTGGGTTAACGAGTCTACAGAGTGGGATGGATAATGTGAGGAACCCTGTTGGGAATCCTA